CACTCCAGGGATCCCAGGTAACAGGAGACCCACAGCCCCAGGATGTCTCCTCAGGTTTTAATACAGCCACTCCAAAGGAAGGAGGCTGAGCTCACCTGCTGCTCTCACTGCAGGCACCGGCCCTGGGGTGTGAACTCAGCTCCTGGAATCCGGCCCCAAGACACTCTAATCCAAGGAACAGCATTTGCCTCTGTAAATAACCATCCAGCACCTCCAGCAGGGCCTGGCTGTGCTGTAAAACACAATCAGTTTGGGGCTAAAACAGCCAGGTCTGGGAGAACCAAAGCACTAAAACCCGATGAAAATGATGGAAAGCATTAGAAGGATCTTGTTTCACAGCAGTGGGAGACCAGAGGGGGTCATTTCTCGTCACTCATGTTTGAACACCAAAGCTCATGGGTGGCATTAGCCACATTTCAGGAGAAGAACCACACATCAAAAACTCACTCTGTTTTTTTTTAATACAAGTATTAATTAAAACCATGGTTCTACACGGTGGAGTTAATGAAATCCTCCCCTTCTGGCAGGCCTGCACAAGCCAAAACCAAGCTTAAAACGAGTGGACAGTGACCCTTCGCAAGAAGGGACACTGAAAGAGTTTTTGTTGCACTTGTGGGGCAAGGGGAGGGGAAGGGACGCAGGCCCCAGGACTGTGTTTTGCTGGGAAGCATGACGACATCCAGGGAAGGAAGGGAACACTCTCAGCCTTCTGGCCTAAATTATCTGCTAACACAAATAATCAAATTCCAGGGACCACACTGCTCTGGCGCCACTAAAACAAGGGGGAGGCCCGGCCCCAGTGCTGCGTGAGCAGGTGGCAGCCCGAGCCTGACCCGCTCAGGATATTCAAGTGCGATGTACAAAATGCTGGTGCTCTCCAAGGAAGCCAGCAGCGCTCACAGATCGTGGGAAGTTTTTAATGGCTCACTCAAGGCAAGGCCTCTGAAATGTTTATATTCATACGTACATGTTGGACAGCCACTCACTGGGTCTCAGCTGGAAACCAGTCCAAACAGCTGAGAAACATCTGGCCGCTAACCTTGGACAGCATCTAATCTGGTAGCCCAGGGATTTAAGAGGTCTCTTCGGAGGGACAGAAGTTTGGCAGATCCTTCCCGAGGTCTCTGCTCTGCTGCGGCCGTTTCTCAAGTCCCGCTCACTGCTCTGGGATGACACGTACGGCCCACGTACACCCCGATCCCACTCACAGCATCCCAAATGACTGCACAGAGCTGCAATCAGACACTGCTCCTAATGGCCAGGAACACTCCTGAAGGCGTGGAACTGTGTGTGCTCCCCCTCTCTCTCGAGGGGAGTCACAGCAGCTCTTGGCCAGCTCACCAAACCGAGCACCCCTGCCCTGCCCCAGCCCATGTGTGAGCAGCACCAGTCACCAGCCTTCCAGCCTCCCCTCCACTCATCTTCCCTCTGCCTCCACTTAATACCAGCAAATCAGCCCCAGAAAGCCCCCACCACCAGACAAACAAAATCCTCCTCTCTGTAGATCTGCAGACCACGATCAGGCCAAGGAGGAACACGTGCTTTTAAAGCAGCTCCACACAAAGAGCAGGGAGGGGAAATGGCCTCGTAATTTCTGATGAAGATGGCTCAAAGTCTACAACCCTTTTCCTTCCAAAACTCCTGCTTGGTTGTTTTTTTCCTCCCAAAGAAACTTCAGTTTTGGCTATCCTGAGACATCCTTTGGTGAGTGAAAAGCTAACAAAGTAAGACACCATAATAGAGGTTGAGCAATAGAGAGAGGGAAGAGACTTTTAGAGCACTGGACATTTACTCTCCCCTCCTACCACCCGTGGAGGTTCTGCAGGGCTTTCTAGACATGTCAGGGCAAAGCCACCAACAACCTGGCTCAAGAGGCAGAAAATTAGGACAGGACCCACATTTCTGAAAACCCTTTGTAGGCTTTATTTAAAAAGAGATAAGGATGAAAAAAGGTGACAAGATACTTGACAGATAAAATGCTGAGCATCCAGTTTATCTCCTTATCCTCCACATCATCTTCTGCTCTTTACATTTTCCCTGATGTCACCCACATTTGTTGTCACAAAAAGCAAAGGCACAAGCACTAGGGATGTAGCACCAAGAACAGAGGACAAGGAAGAAGATGCTCAACAAGGGCTAAAAAAGCCTCTTTCCTAACAGAGGCTGAGCATGCTGGCTCTGGTCCAACAAAGCACTTAAGCACTTGCCTAACTTAAATTTGCCTTTACTGGGGCTCTTCACAGCCTTAAAAGTTCAGCACATTCTCCAGCAATGTGCTATAGTATGACCAGAGAAAACGAGGAGCTATTGAGGGACCAGAACCTCAGTCAGCAGCCAGGTTAGTGTGCGCTGGGGGAGCACACCATCCAAAGATTAATGCAACAGGGCAATTCCACTGACTTGCAGGGCAAATCCACTCTTAAGCCATCAGAAAAAGCTTACTAAATATAAAACAATAAGTAAAAACCCGTAGATATTAAGAATATCAAATTCTCTTCAGCTTCTCTCAGCTCAAGGGAGGTAGAGCTTGACACAGACATTTATTTACAGGTATGTGCAGAACTGGAACCCCCTTGTTACAGGTAAGTCGGTGCCAGCTTGAAAAAAACCACACTGAACCCACTGTGCTGTTTCTCGGTGTAAGAAACACTGTCCTGTGGGTAAAGCAGCAACCTCAGGTGCCAAAGGGCCAGTTCCCACAAACAGCAAGGTCAGCCACAAACAGCTCTGACAGGCCGGCAAGACACGACAAGTATTTGGCAAAGGAGCAGGAACACATCCCACTGCACATCCCTGCGGGGTCTGAGTCCCTCAGCACAACTGACCCAGCTTTACACCATCCCTCTGCCCTCGCCTGCCCGGCAGTGCCACGGCAGCTCCAGGATTGGGGCTCTGAGATGAAGCACCAGATCAGTGAGTGCCCAAGGCTGACGGGCACAGCCATGCCCACCCGCCCCTCTGCCCGCTCCGTGTCCGTGTCTGACACAGGAACGAGCCACACACAGCAGGGGGGTCTTGGAGAGCAGCCGATGACACTTTCTGGCTTAAAAATTGATAGTGGAAGAAACTGAAATTCTAAATATAAAGCACTGCACGGATTTGTAAGAGAGCAGACAGCACATACTCCCTACATACACACACAGGGCCTAATTACAGCACAGCAAGAATCAAATGATCATTAGTCTTTATTAACAATTAATATCTCACTGAGCTGCTGGTATTCCCCCAGCAAGTTAATGCCTGTACAGTGAGACAGTCGTGATAAACAGGCTTTTAAAATTGAATTTGATTCTGGATAAATATGAAAAGTGGTTCCCACAAGAGGACATAACATTTAAACCGAGCAGCCTGAGCCAGCCCCAGCCTTGGGAAGCTTTCTGGCTCCCTCTGCTGTCTCCGAGGATGAGCTGAGGCAGAGGCTCACTCCACATCCCCGGGAAGCACAGGCAGGTGAGGGAGCACCCTCAGTACAGGATTGGTTCATGGCTGGCAGCAGTGCAGGGAGAGCTCCTGTTCAGCTCAGCCCCAGCACCTCCAGCAGCACCTGCTCCAAGGAACAGCACTTAATTTTATGGCCAATCAGCTTATTTTATTTATTATCCCTTCATACCCTTCTCCAAGGAGACACTGGTTCAGGACATAAAGTGAGGGTCAGCAGTGATCAACTGAACTTTTGCACTAAGTTCACATAAACACACGTACAGCACGGTTTTGTCTCCCCACCTCATTTCTGAAGCACCAACATGCACCAGGCTGTGGGATGACCAGTCACTTCCACTGTGCGGGTCACACCCCCTGACAAAGCCACCACACACAGATCCATTGGAAGATCATTCCCTGGGCGTTATTTTTCCACACCAACCCTAACAGGTTGAGTGGAACAGCAAGAGAGCACTGATATGCCCAAAGAGTTCAACTCCCAGGGCAGAACATCCACAATGAACCAGTTCTTTTTAAAAGCAGCACCCAACTTTGTATGGCAGATGCTGCTAAGTGACTCTTGCCAGCACAGCTCCAAGCCAGGATGGAATGCTCTAACCTGTACACCTTGCAAAGCAAACCAGACACTTGAAAGTTTTTAAAATCATTACGTGAAGTAGAAAGGTTTGGAGAGGCCTCAAACATGCACCAACCTCCCAAACAGGGCAAGGACACTCTGAAAACCAGAGACAATCAAGCAGCCCGCTGTAATTATCCACTGTAATTGTTCTGATGCCCATTTACCAGAGACAATCAAGCAGCCCACAGTAATTATCCACTGCAATTGTTCTGATGCCCATTTACCATCTTTGACATGAAGCTATTTTAAATAAGCACACACACATGACACTGACATAGTATTAATCACATTGTCTTCACAGACACCCTCTGGGCTGCCCCAGAAGGAACAGTTTTCACTCCAGGCCAGAAACCAGCAGCAAGTTTCACAAAGGTTATTCCCTTTTTCATTCCCAACCCAGGCAGAACCTTGTTTCACCCCAACACTGCGGTGAGTGCACGAGGACCTTCCAGCAAATCCTCTGAGGTGGAGACACACTCGGAAAAGGCCAAAATTTCACAGCTACATTTTCACCCAGATTTGGAGAGAAGCTCAGCTTGTTGCACTTCACTATTTGAGTGAAAACACTTAAAACTTCAAGTTGTGAAACAGTCCTTGACCTTGGCAGACAACATAACATGCAACTGTAGAGGATTCAATTTCCTGGGGACAACAGCACAGCAAGGCCACGGCACTGACAGCACACGGAGCCAGGAACTCCCTTCGGCAGCTCCTTGGCACGTCCTGACCCTACCAACTGCCAAGGCTGGGGCAGCCTGAGGTTTAAACCAAAAGTACAGAAGCTCCTTGGCACAGCAGCAGCAGCTGGATAGAGACAATTGCCTTTCGCCACCAGGTTACATTCTGTCAGCTAAACGTGATCTGTAGGAAGATACTTCCAACAAATCAAGAATTCCATAAGGGATCAAAATTTCTAAACATAAATACAATTAAAGCCTTCTAATATTAATGCACACTTTTTATTATATTAAAATCAGGCAATGGTCTGATACAATAAAAAGGCTGCTTATGGAATACTGTTATGTTAAACTTTCAGTACAGAGGATGTTAAATCCTTACAACTAATATTTTCCTCAAAAGTTAATGGAAACATCAATTGTTCATTGACTTGACAGCTGCTGCTTTAAAATGTGTTTATTTTTACTCTTTTCTTTTTTTTCCTTTTTTTTTTATTCTTTTTTTTACACAAACACTGAATTTTTCATAAAACTTAGGACACACTAGGTTGGTTTCTGTAAGCTTGCGTCCACATTGCAGCAGTTAGTGGTCCAAAACAGTAAACCAGAAAAGGCAGTGATTTGCCAGGATGCAAAGCCAGTAAAGGTCCTCAATCTGCTGTACAACACTTTCCCAAAATCTTCACTGAAGAGATTTCTAAGACTTACAGAACACTAATAAAAGCTACCACACGGATTTGATTTGTCTGTAGTTGTCACATCTTTTAGAAGGGCCAAACGCAAGTGCAACAATTTGTTAATTAACATTCTTAGGTCAATCCAAAGCACCAAAACACAACGATTTGAGTGTGGCTGGAGTGTGTTCAGAATCTCTGCGTGCAGAGTTTCCCCCATTCAAGTTTGGCAGCAGAAGATTTGGGCAATCCTGGTAAATTACTGCTCTTTTCCCCACGTCAAAGCCTATCTAACAACACGGCCGTGGCCAGCTTGGCGGAGTGGCAGCAGTGCTGGAGGGGAGGGAAAATCCAAGTTTGCGAGCAGAACGGATACTCTTGTTTTCCAGGCTGGTGAAGACTAAATTTGTTGCAAAACCAAAATGATAAGCAAGAGGGAACAGGTCAAGTTATTGCCCCAACACTTACCCCTGGGCCAGGGGCGAGAAGAGTCACCAAAAGGGGCAAAAAGAAAGCAGCACCCCCACTAAAAAGAGGGGAAGAGGGAAGAGATTAAAAGAACCCTGAATCCCTCACCCAAAGCCCACGTCACTGGTGAGGGGGACCAGGAAGAGAAATACAATCTATGCCTTGGCCAAAGGAAAGAAGGAAAGCTTGCCCCAGATTATCAGGGCATTTAAAAAAAATTAATAAAAACCCCAAAACGACCACAGTCACATTCAGCCTTTACTAGAGCGAGCACAAAGGGAGGGATGACTGAGGTTAGCACACATCCCCAGTAGTAGTCCATACAGCCCAGTGTAGCACTGGAAGCAAAAACCTTTGTGTCTACTCTAATAAATAGCCCTGAGCTTCGACTCTATTGCAAAAGACAGAGAAAGAAAAAAATAACCCAGGCCAGACACACAGCAAGGTGATTGTGGGATGGATCCTTTCACAGTTAAGTTGGATGTGCCACACTGGTCTTGACAGTAATAAATTTAAATAGACTTTTCCTGATACCAGAAGTTCAGCTATGTGGACAGTGGTTACACGACAGGATTATTTGTTATAGCACAACTTATATTTCAAATGAAAAAAAAAAAATTAGTATCATTTACAGTATCTCAAGAAAAACCTCCTTTGAATGGGAACTTCCTTTCCAGTATTTTGAGGTCTACAAGATGCATCTAGAAAATTTACTACTGTGGAAAATGAAGACAGCTTAAATTGAATAAGGGGGGCATGTTGGTTTTTGTTGTTTGTTGTTTTTTTTTTTTTAATTAATTGCTGTAACATTGTCCTTCAGGTGGCTGAGGAAGTTTCATATTTTCTTTAGACATCATTAGACGCCGAAGCTCTTGCAGAACAACTTTGATACTATAAGAATTCTGCCATTTTGCTAGGACTGATATGGCTCTGGGGTCCACCTAAAATAGACAAAAAGACCATTCCTGTCAGAATTGGCATGTTGGATACACTTAACTCCACCCACACCCCCAGCTAAAGATCCTCCACGAAATCCAAGTGGGAGAAAGCAAAGCAAGCAAAAGCAAGTGTTTTCCCTAAAAGCATAATAAATCTCCACTTGTCCACTTCCCTGCTACCCCCTTTCCTCCTTTTTGAACAAACAGCACTACAAGCAGTGAGTAGTTAAGCAAGTTACAAGTATAAACGAAGCATAGGAAACTGCACATAAAAACATTAAAATGAACAAAAGGAAAAAACTTACCACTCCATTAGAACTATTTACTCCATTCATATTAATTTTTGTTACAAATCTTACAAATGGAGGTGCTTCTGGATACTTAGGCCCGCATTCTATTTTAAGGCTGTATATTCTGTTTTCATAAATTGTCTGAGGGGGAAAAGAAAGGGGAAAAGAATTACATCAGGCAGTTCAATAAGTATTTGGTTAAAGCAATGGCTACTTTAGGAATATGGGAACTACTAAACATAAGGGCAACCAGTTTGACACTGTGCTGGCTACCTCTGTTTTTGGTTCATTTTATAACATTCAGGGTATCAAATGTTTCCGCTTCAGGCTAATAAATTCTACTGCTCTTTTAAGCATCAAATTTTCATGTGAGGAAATGAAGCTGGCACTGCTTCCCAGTCACCAGCTGAAATGATTTTTTTTAATCATCATATAGCTCAGATATAACTTTCCAACCAATCTTTATGAAGCAGCTTTGTTTTAATCAGTTTTCTAATCCCACACACTACCTTTAAACCAAGGCCACAACTTCAGCTTCTGATCTACAGAGTCTTCCCATCCTAGAACTGCTCTTGGAAAGTATTCTTTGGTCATTAACCTGCTGGTTCTCAGAAGGGGGAAGGTTCCAAGATTCAACGCGTTTGAAAGGACATCCTGATCCCAAACAGCACTGTCACTTTGGCCCCACAGCAGGAACACTGTCCCACTCCCGGGTAGCAGAAATCCTGGATCCTGGGTTTGTAACTAACTGACCCACCCGTGGGTACAAAGAGAGACAAATGTAACATGGCGACATCGATTCTTCGATATTTCAAAGTCATTAAAAGGAATACCAACAGTCAGTGTCACTCTGCATTCTGAGAATAACTATTCTTGCTGTGCTGCTCTGGCATATCTGGCGCAGAGCTCCAGCTGAGCTGGGCAATGTAGGCAGCTGGCAGACTTACACAACAGGAACAGGATCACCACAGGGAAGTTTAGGCAGACAAGCTCTCCAGATTTAGAGCTTCTGACACAATTTCCTGCACCTTCAGCATTGCAATGAACATTAAACTCTCAGGGCAGTGACCATGAACAAAAATCCAGGTGAACCTGTGAGCGCAGAAGCAGCTCCTGCTCACCTGTGGCATCATGGCATGATGGTCCCACCAGGACTTTAGAGTGGCTGCCAGGTATCCAAAACCTTAGTGGAAAACTCTGTGCAGTCCCTTCCGAGGCCTGGCTTGACTCTGAACAGCTTGCTATTAATCAATGTTTTGATGCACACCACTACCAAAATGTAAGAGCTAACTTCCTGATCCAGCTGTTCCTCATCTGTGACAAGGAAGTATCTTCAATCCCTCTTGCACCACCAGCAGCGGGACCAGCCCCTGGTCAGCGCTGGCACCTTCTGGCTGCTCCTCAGCCACACAGCCTTTCACACACCCAACCAGGGCAGGGGCAAACTGGGCACTGCCACAAAGTTTTGGGGCAAAATAGTCATCCATCAGCTCTGCTTGGCCTGCCCAGATCTCCTGACTGTGTCCCTGAGCTGCCTTGTGCATGAAGCAAGGAACAACCCCAAGCTTCGTGCAGGGCTTTGAGGTCTCTCTGAACACCCACCCCACGCAGGGAGCAGGGAGCTGGAAGCCTTGGCTGTGAACAGCCAACATAAAACATGTTGATAAAGCTGAAGCTTTGGCAGTGCCACTGTTTCTAAGTAGCCTGTATCAGCAAGGCGAACCCCTGGCTGTGGAACCATCCACACACAGCCTGGGAAGGAGAACACACCCCGTGTGTGGCCGCAGGGACACTCGGGGACCTCTGCACCACTGTTCGTTTCCCCTCAAGATATACAACATAAGATTCTTCCACCTGCTGCAAGCATGACTGCTTTCTGCCCAGATGGAAATAGGAAGTTTCCACAGCCAGTATTCCCACGTCCTATTAAGAAACAAAATGGTCATAACTGAGTACGAACTCAGTTCGTTCAGCAGGACAGCCACTGAGAAAGCAAGAATGACTGGAAGTTCCCAAAATCTTTCTCAATACAGCCTGTTGCCTTCAAGCAATAAGCTCAAAAGAAGTCGAGACACTTCTGGAAAAAATCTGCCTTCCTAAGTGTGTCAGAAAGACAAGAGAGGCAGAACTGAATCCTCTCCTGTGATGGTCCCCTAGCCTTGGTTTGCAGCATGACATGAACGACAAACTTCCATCGCTGCTGGCAAGGCAGCACACGCCTGTTTGCACACCCCAGTTCCCATTTAATTCTCTAAATTAGATTTCAAGGTTGTTTAAATTTTCCATAAAGTGTATGCACACAGTGAGCCTTCTTCACAGCCTTGATGCAGGCTCATTAGCGCTCTCCTAATATTCTAAAATCAAATGCTGTTCTAGAAAACAATCTGGGCATATCATAAACAAACGAAATGATCGTGACTGGGGAGATGTTAACAAAGGCAGACAAGAAGTAAACAACACTTCTGGATGAGATGGAAAATGCTGCATGTGTAATGCCATTAGAAGGTACATTCTTGTACAACCTCGCATGTCAGAAAAGGCGGTGACACAATGGGAACACACAGGGCAGGGCATGGCTGAAGGTCTGTAAAGATTTACATGTAATCACCCCTGAATTACTGGGAAGTGATACTGAGGCCAGATGTAGAAGACAACATCTGTTACTGCAGGAAGGATAATGGGCTCCTTGCACTGCATGGGAAGGAATTAAGGAAACAGAACAGTGAAACTGGAGACAACAGACGAGTTCTGGTGTTAGAGCACATGCATGCGTACAACACACAATGAAGTCCTCAAGTTCACTACTGAAGTGTAGACCCACAGTTTAGTAGGGCCTGGAACGGAGAAGGGAGAGTACAACAACACTCCCACAAAGACCAGTTGTATTCTAAGATGCTGCTTTGGGAGAGAACATTCAGAGAAGGAACCGAATTCATTAAAATTTGTGTTTCCTGAGTTAGCTGAAACTCTACAAGAGCAAGTCAGATCTGCTGCAATAAAACCCAACCCATAAACTCATTGAAGAACAGCAGAAAGACCAGCAGTGCTGCACAGAACATCCCCTTGCTGAGCTCCACATGTAACCTCAAACCTTGCAATATTCAAGAGTACAGGATACTAGAAATCTGGGATCTCAAAAGTTATGTCTTAATGGATCTGCAAATATAAAGCAGACATGTAACAGAAGTGACCAGAGAAAGGCACTAAAATATTCCAAATTCGAAGCAAAAAGCAATATAGTACATGAAAACCATTATACAGAACTTGGAACTTCAACATAATTCACTTTCTGAAGTGTTTTTTCACTCATTTGTCTTTCGTTTGCTTTGTACTTCAGTGGTTAAATTAGGAGAAAAAAGGAGGAAAGAAAAAAAAAATAACTGTACTATTTTAGGATTTAACTGGATACTTACTCTTGGAGGCCCAATAATCATTCCTGTCCATCTTGTAAGTGTCATATCTTCATCATCTTCAAGGCCCCAGCTAACTGTTCCATCCCCTACTCCCTTCTGACCTTCTTCAAGTTCTTCCAAAAGACGAAAATTACGAGGAACTTTTACTCCTGAAACAATCAGAAAAAACATTTTGAGTTGAGAAATCTAGTAAAGAAACAAAGCTAGAGTAATTTCCCTGATACTCGTGGTCACTGCACAGAAAACATTTTGGGTAAAATCTTAAAAATACCACTATTTTTTTGAATGATAATATTTCAACATTATGAAAAAGCTATCCCATATTTAGCTTGAATTTTACAAGCAAAATCAAGGTATCCCCAAATAAACCTGCCAGAAGGCTGACAGGCCACGTTATGGCAGTCAGTGAAGTGAAATCTCTGTTCCCTCAAAGATACACCTGGTATTATGGAGCTTTAATTTAGCACTTGTGTATATGATTTACAGCACGAAAATGTAGAAGATTCTCCAAAACGACACCATGAGAGGCTTCATATCACTCGACTCACTCAGAGCTTTTAAAATACCTTTTAAAGCAAATAAAACTGTTTCATAACATCAGTAGGTTAATCTGAAGTTAATTGAAGTGGGCTTTGTCAGCAGCAATAGCATCCTTTGTACTTATGACCTCCACCACCAAGGAATTTCAGCACTTGGTAACTGCTGGCACATTTATCCTCAAAACACACAGCAAAACAGGGAAATTTTCTTATCCCCATTACATTAATGGAAAACAATGGCACAGAGAGCCTAGGTGGCATATCCAAGGTCACACACTAAGTCAGTGGTGAAGGAGGATCTCAAACTCAGGCCGTGGTGGGCTAAACACTCACTCTTCTTCAAGGTATCACAAAACAGAAACACTTGAATCCTGCTCTTTTTGTTGTGTTTGTGGGGCCATGTGTTTGGCCCCACGTGCAAAATACAGAGGGATCTAAGGCATTGCAAAATGTAGCAGTGATAAAACTGAGTAACTCCAGTAGCATAAAAGTTTCCCTTCCATACATTAAGGACCTAAAGAAACTAAATGTCAGAGATGATTCTGCTGCAGAATCGGTGTGGTCCAAATTTCATTCACTACAAAGCATGCACGAAAGAAACCAAATCAGCAAATTACTACAGAAATTAATTTGTTGGGCAGTCTGACACACACCTGACGTGGTCATGCTGAAGAACATTCTGGGGAAACACGATTCAGTAACACAGCTGCAGCAGTGGCACGATGAGGAGCCCACACCCAGAAAAGCAGTGTCCACAGACACCAGACCTGCACTAAACCAAACCTCATTCAGGGGCTGCTGAGCACAACTCCAGCACAGTTCCCTGCCAAATCCCCTCCCAGCCAGGCCGTGCTGTTTCCATGGCTGCTGAGGAACACAGATCTTTGGCTGGGAAAGGAAATGAGTCAGTTGGGGCCCGTGAAGCCATCACCATGGGATTGCCCCGAGCACCAAACCCTGGGTGGTAACAGGACCTCCTAGGCACCACTGTCACATCCCCTGCACAAGGAACTCCAGCATTTCCTCTCCCAGAAAGCCTAAAAAGTATGAAGTGTGTATCCCGTGTGCCTCAGGCCCATGAAGGTTCAAGCATGCAGGTTATGCCTGACCCATGACAGACGAGCCACCTCATTTTTAATTCTATTCCCAACACTCTCCACGCTGCAGTCTGGGGAGGCAGAGCAGCCCAGCTCCAGCACCGGGGATGCAAGAGCTGGGGGACAAGAGAAACAGATGGAGCAGGAATTGAAGGACAAGGTGCCACCTTTGTTTTACACACACTCCAACTATTGTCCTGTTTTTGCTGCAGTAGATGCACAGGAGAGCTGGTGATGGGGAATGATTCACAGCACCCAGTGCCCAAAGCCACTGTCTGGGCTTCAGCCCTGCCCTGTGAAAGGAAGGGCCAGGGGAGAAGGGCAAGCAGAAGGTCCTTGTGGAGGGGGACTCCACTTTCAGTCTGACACAGCAGCTCTTCCACAGTGCAGGTGATGCCACAGAGGGAACTCTGTGGCTGTTACCAGATCCCGAGCCCCCCAACTCCAGCGACCAGCCTGGGCCCCCGAACACCTGCCTGGAATGTGTCACAGAGCCAAAAAAACACTCTTCCAGACCCCACCATCACAATGCTTAACAAGCATCATCTCAGCACTTCGGCCCTTGACTACAACCCTTCATATTCGTCAGTGGTGCAAAGACAATTTACTGACATTTACTCAGGCCAAACCAAACAACCCAGGAGGAATCAGCTTTATGGCAGACACAGGCCACACATCAAAGAAGGAGACCACAAATACTGCCTGTCCACCTTTTCTCTGAGCATCACCTCTGAGGGATTCCTCTGAGCATCATGCCCTGTTCACTGAGAGAGACAGGAATCCCCGTGAAGAAAATTAAGAGAGCATGTAATTAAAAATGACATCATCACGTATATATTCGAGCAGGCCACAACCAAAGCTGAAAGGCAGCCTTAGTTCTGACATTTGCTAATTAGAGGCTTTACAACCTTACGGGAAGGGAAGGCAACTTTATTGCTGAGCTCTCCCCAGATACAGCTGCTCTGATTCAGCATGAATCCAGCATGAATCAGAGCCATAAAAGAGTCACACAGGACCTTGCAGTTCTCTGGCAAGCCTGAGGTCTCCAGAGAGCTGGCGAGTCATGTCGCGCGCTGGCTCCATAAATGAGTGTTAATTCCACAGCAACTGCTCACTTGTGAGCACTGCAGGGCCATGATGGCAAAGGGAGTGCCCAAGGGAAGTACATACATTTGAGGTTTTATGCACTTCACAGAAAACAAGGTGATCATGGCAGATAATTGGTCACTTTACAACCAGTGACCCTGTCCAGGCTGCTTCCTAAAAATGTGGTAAAGCTCAGAGGTGTAACATGGAGGACCATCACCTCAGCCACCACAGAAGGTGGTCATTCTGCTCCCTCCCTGACACATTCTCAGGAGATTCACACAGCAGAAGGAAAATCACACATATACATATAGAAGACTTCGCTTTAAATAATTTCTAAACAACCTGCCCTTAAGCAAGGCAGAACACAAGACCAGACTGACCCTTCTGGTCAGCCAGGAAAGATGCACATGGCCATTAAGCCAAGCCCAGCTCCTCTTCACTTGCAAAGGCCTGGAGCACTCATGGTCCACCACCACATCCTGCCAGGACCTGAACCTCAGAACCCCCACGGACTTTATCACTTGTGGTCCCACACAAATACATCATCATCATCATCATGTTTGCTGCCCACCAAGATTCCTAGAGAGTGACTGGATCTGTTCTAGGCACACACAGTATTTGCCAAATGACTTCCACGGCTAAACCATGGCAGATGCAGAGCCAGGAGATGTCCTGTGCCCGCTGACACAACCATGAGCTGCCTGTGTTCCCTCCTCCCACCCCCCAATAAATACCTTGCATAACCCTTTCAGTGTAGCAATGGAGATTTCCAAGGCAGCAACCAAACTAACCTGTTTTTCTAAGAGCCCTTCCTTTAACACAAGAAAATCTACACAAAGTGAGAGGCAATTAAAAAGTAATCAACTTGTCTAAAGTACTTTCGGTTATGCATTTTGTCTTTACTATGGTTCAAGATGACTCTCAAATAGCAGCTTCATGTGAAACAAAAATACAGTAATATCTCGATAACTGCTTCACTTGCAGCTTGCCTGACCAAACAGAAACACTCCCAGAAATGGAGCTGAAAACGTTTCAGAGCAAAAGGAGATATTTACTATTAATCACAACAGCAAACCTGTGAAAGCTAAATCATAACTGTACTAACCAGGGAGATCCATAATCACAGACTTGTACAGTCCTTCTAAAAGTTCACCTTTCAGTAACGTGCTTTGGTGAAGCCTCAACCCCACAGGTGAATTCAGCAGTTACACAAAATTAATGAAATCACTTTATGGCAACTAAAGAGCAGAACTAAACCACAGACTGAGCTTTCCAGAAAGTCAGGAAATGTACCTTACACCCTGCAGACCTCAGAGCTGCAGTTAAGAAGCTGCTTGGTTTTGGGTGATGTGACATCCTCTTCAGCCTTCAAGACCTTCTGTTTTCCTGGTCAGAAACGCCCCTGGCACCTCACAACCCAGCTGTTTGCTAAAGCAATGGGTTGAAGACAGAGCCAGCACACTGAAATGGGGACAAAAGAAGTGTGACCATCTCTGGTCAGAATCTCACCAAGGGAAGAACAGAATTATTCCTGGAAGACACTTAAATGCCAGCGTGGACTTTTAAAGAGCTGAAAGCACTCTCAGATTTACCGTCTATCACAGCACTGCTAAAGACACACATACTCTTACAACAGTTTTAAGAGTGATCCTACCAGCCTGAGATTTTTCTCAAATTTACATTCCCATGAAGTTCACAGTACATTTGTACTAAGTTAAAAATGATACTTTCTCACAGACTACACTTTTTCATCTTTCCATTTTCCTCAGTTACACAGCGGAAGCAATCCCAAATCCAGAAGCCTTAGAAGCTGAGAACAGCACAGTGAAACCAGGTGGGCAAGGTGCCCTGGGAGCAGATCCTCTTCTCAAGCATTTTTTGATCAGTGTCAGTAGAACAAAACACACACCTCTCAAAAACTTCAAGAACATGTTTCTCTCTCCTTTCTAAAATGAAATTCAATCACGAGCATTTCTCTTCAGGACTAAAGCACAGGCCCAGGGCACAGCACACCTCAGCAAAGTACCCAGAAAATGCACTTCACTCTCATGGGGCTCCAAAGAGAGGAACTGTCTTTTGCTGAAGGTTTTTCAATATCTTCACCGATAACAAGCAACTTATCAAACTGGCCTTTATGGACAACTTAAAACTCTGCTTTCTGTACTAGTTCCTGATTTACAGTAACTCAAGGGAGCTGAAATCCAATAGCTTTAAACACCTCTGTTGTTTAATACATTAAAGGGCCTCCTGTTGCTTGATTCTGTGTATTCGATATTCAGCTTTAATTACATCCTTTCCAATATATGTCTCATCTCTTTGGAAAGATTGCAACTACTGCCAATAGGATAAGCTTACCCTTGCAGCACTGGGACTGTAAAAAACATGTAAACATTCCCTGTCACAATGGTATATAAGGTTTCTGAAGTGATAGAATATTTAAAACTGAATAAAAGGCTTTCAGCAATTGTCCCAAAAGTTTTTGGGACACAGGAACTTTACATTTCTTGCATCATCTTTACAGTCATGATTTCCACTCTGACGATGCAGACAGGTATTCTGCAGGTCCAAAATTCCTGTGCCGTTGAAACAATCTGAGTGTTTTCTTTCTGTGTAAGCTTGAGCGCTGGTTCTACCTTCCAATACTTTAGGCAGGCCACTTGAAAAGAGATCACTTAGTCTGAGGCAGGCTGGCAGCACCATTCAGGTCTGAGGCCAAGCACAGCTTTCCAGCAGTAGCAGAGTTAAAATCAGATGATTTCTGTGCTTGCATCACAGCCGAAAAGCAAACACTTCCAGTGCAGTGACTCTAGAAAATAAGTCACCCTGAACTGGTGTCCTGGACCAAATCTTTACTCTTCATCTCCCCAGGGAAAATCCCAGCATTTCCTTTGGCACTGTGAGAAGAAATGGTTGGGACTGAGGGAGAGCTGCTCTCCTGCTGGCCCTCCTGCCACAGAGGATGGTTGGGTTTTCCCACATTCACACCACCCACAGGTGAGGGCAGAGCACAGGTCTGCAGACAAGCCCTGAAGAGCAGGAGCTGACACTGCTGGGCCAGGCTGTGCCAGCACAGGCAGGATGTGCCCCCCAGGCCCTGCCCACACCTGGGAGGGCACAAACCACCAGGAGGGGGGAGCACAGTAGCTTGGAATAGTTAAAATACACCCTCACAACCTGAAAATCCCACCCTGAGAGTCCCACCCTTCACAATCCTCACCAATTCTGTCAGTACTGCACTTTCCATGATCCCCACCTGCTCACGTGTTCAATACACTAATGAATACTTTTAAGTTCTCAGCCAGAATAGTGTTCTTCAAATATATTACGTAATTTGTATCACTGGACATGAAAATATTCAACTGAGTATTGTCTTGTAGGAGTTGTGAACTATTTACCTTTCTATTCAGTTTACTGCGTCCTTTTATTACAGTTCACAGAGCTCTGCAATCAACTCCTCCAGCAGCTGCTGTTACAGTCTATCTTATTTAAGGAGGCATAATTTATCTTCCATTTTCTCTTCAATTACTTTTCCCTACCCTTGAATATTTTACTTACAGGCTCAGAGGGCACTTGGTGGCTGCAATATTTCCTTTGAGATAAGAAAGGCTGTTTTCTGCTGGGCATTCCAAGGAGCCATTGTGGGGCACTTCCAGGGGCAGCTACACCTGTATCCTTCAATACACAGTTTATTCTTATTGTAAGGCCTCAATTGCTTTCCACAAGCACAATTTTGAGTTTACAGTGATTACAAATATATACTTTTAATATACTGTACCAAACCTAATCCATTCTCTTCTCTTAGGAGCTTTAAGCCACGTGTATATCAGCACTATCATGGCCATACACTGATTAATTGTTTTTCCACAGTTCCTCACATTCTTTGAACACATTAAATCTGGGCAAACCATTTTACTACCGAGTTCTTCCAGGCTGTTGGCAAACACGGTGTCCCAAACATATCCACTAAACTGAACTATGAGAGAAAAGTGAGTTAAATGAGATCACTAAACTCTTCCCAGGGTGAAAGTTAGAGAAGCAGGATCTCACAGGCCAAGACAGCTGGGTTTTGACCCATTATAAAACATTAATCTGCAGGACAGCAATATGGAGCCAGCTACCTAGGGTTGGGGTTTTTTCCTTTTTAATTATGTCTAACTGTTTATTAGATACAAGTATCTAATCTATCTACCTGTCTAATTGCCAGGGCCAGCCCTTTTTAAGTCACAGGGACATTTGCAACCACTTCTTCCTCTGGGCCAGTAGCTGCTTTTGGAGACAGAGTGAGTATTTTTCATCTTCAATGTCTGTTTAAGCTCCTTTGCTGAACACTAACTCAGGATGTCACATATATTCCAATGCTTTACAAGCAAATAGGAATTAATTAAGATTTCCATGAAACAACCATTAGCAAACTTTGTTTTCCAGATGGGTGAAACAGTTCTAAGGTACCTGCCCCAAGTCTCCCAGTGATGGAGAGTGAGGAGGTGTCACCTCCAGGCCCTTCTGCCTTCAGTGCAGTGTTGGGAATGAAGGAATAACCTGCATTGCAGTGCCACTGCCAGCACCTGGACACTGGGATGTCCTTGCTGTCAGGAGAGGGAAATCTCCACCCTTTCCCAACACAACAGAACAGGGAGCACTGCTGGGAGGGCAGCCCATGAGTTACAGCCCAAGCTCTCAGGCTCCCACCCATGGCAGCTGCTCATCTGTATCCCAAGGGTCTTCCAGACTGAATTTTGGGGGTTTTTTGCACAAATCCAGTGTTCCTGCAGCACATGTCTGTTAGTCACATTCCCCATGATCAGCTGAAGGGCTGTGCCCACACTGCAGGCACAGGACACCGAGGGCCCTGCTCCCACTCCCTGCTCCCAGCACTGGGGACACAACAGCTGTCAGAAAACCTGGAATAACAGGAACAGTCCAAGAGACACAGTGTGGCCAGCACATGGTGGGCAACAAGAGCCTGTCTTGGTGCTGTGCTGGGACTGTGGGCACAGCCCAGGCCCCTCCATGACCACCCAACAATTACCTCAGGAGCTGCACAACCTTAACACCAGAAATATTTGCCTTGTTCTTCCAGCCAAGCACAAAATGCAGAGTCAGCAGCTTGAAAGGATCCCTGAGAACACACAGCAGCCAGGAGAACGTGACAGAACAGGGGAAGGAGGGTCCACTACAGCTTTTGTGTCTTTAATCAACTCCCCACAGTCACACGTGTCGAAGCATATACCTGTAACACATAATTCTCAGGACAGCACCTACTGCACTTTAAAAGGGTTTTTATTAACTTGATTATGTGCAATGTGATGGTTATCCTTAGAATCTGAAAGTGGTCATGGACAGAGAGCTATCTGTAAAAAAAGAATTCTGAAATATTTCTGTTACATCTCCAACAGTCACCTTCTGGTGAGCTTGTAGTCAAACTCCGGAGGGAAGAATCTGAAAACAAAGCACTGCAGAGGCACCTGTGAGACCCTGCATGGACTGAGGAAAACAGGACAATGAAAATGGCTGGACAGAAGTGACTCTGATTGACTCGATCTGTTGAAGTTCGTTAGAGGATGTCAGCAGAGAACAAAACCATTCCAAACCTGGTTCCAGCACTGCTGGTTAATGTACAGTGATAAATGCAAGGAGAGGGTGTAACTACTCAGAGCAGGCATGGGGCAATTTCAGAGGGTATAAAATACACCAACTGCTTGGAGCACACACGTCCTGACACGGGATTGCATAGTTCTGGTGGAAGAGAGAGACACCAGGAGCGAGAAAGGATTTTAAAGCAGCCGATTTCCCTCCGGTAACTCCAGCAAGGGCCCGGTGAGTGCCGAGAGAAGGGAGCAGGGCCAGCCCCGGACACACGAACCGGCCAGGGGGGAGCGCGGCAGGAAAAACGCCTGAACGGCGGCCCCGGGACAGCCGGCCCGGCCCCGGGGGGTGCGGGTTCTGTCCCGGCAACAGCGGTCGCGACCCCGCAAGGCTGTCCCTGTCCCGGCCCGGCCCGGCCCGGCCCGCGGGCACAGGCCCAGCGCGGAGTGCCCGCTCCCACCCGGGGCCGGGACACGCGTCCCGCAAGGCCCCGCCGGCCCCGCTCGCCCACCTGGCCCGGCCCGGGACCTCTCCCTCCGCTCGGCCCCGGGATGGGCCGGCCGGGCCCGCGGGCCCCGCGCACGGAGCGGCACCGGCTCCGGCTCCACCCCCGCCCCGCCGGGCCCCGCTCGGGGCCGCGCCGCTGCACCCTCCCCGCGGCCGCCACCCCGCCGGGCGCCCCCCGCGCTCCGCCGGCCCGGCCCGGCCCCTCGGCAGCCCCGCCCGGCTTGCCCGTCCCCGGCGCCGCCGCCCGGCCCGGCCCGGCCCCGCTCACCCGCACCCGTGGTCGCCGCCATCTTGCGCCGCCGCCGCCAGCCCCGCCCCACGTGACGTCACCGCAACGCGGGAACTGCGGCGGCGGCAGGCGCGGCGCGGGCGGGCGCGCTAAGGGGGGGACGCGCGCCGCGCGGGTGATTCTGTGGTGCACGCACAGCGCTCCGGAGCTCTGTGGTGCGGGCGGGCGTCCCCGGGGTTATCGCCCCCCCTCCTCCTGCCCCGCCCCGGGACACCCACCCCGGGGTGCCCAAACACCAGCGCGGTGGAGGGGAATTAACACCCGTAACACTCCAGCACAGCCTCCTCCAGCCCGCTCCATTTCGTACATAATGTGAAAAAAAAAAAAATTAAAAAGTAGAAAGGAAATGCAGTCTGTCTCGCGTTGCAACGCGTCTTCCAAAAGTTGTGCCCCAAGACTTCGCGTGAAAATTTGCAGAAACGATTACGAAGCGAAACGTGTTGGAGACCCATCGCAGTTCAAGGCGTTTCCTGCAGCGAACCCTGCCAGACTCAGCCTGGAGCAGCAGCGAGAGCCGAGGAGCTGCTCCCTTCCATTGTTCCTCGAAGCTGCTTTAGAACAAACAGCAGCGCTGGCCTCGCTGCTTGGATGGCATTTCATCGAATAAAGTTTCATTTTACCCACGGCTGAGCGCGGCGCTGGCTGAGGGCAGCAGGAAGGCACCAGGAGTGCAGCTAGATGGCATGAGAGCCCAGCCGAGCTGGCCAGGGCACAGGGACGAGAGGACCTGGAGAACCAGATTTGGCACTGAGCAGACAGAGCCCCCTCTTGCTGCAAGAGAGGGTTTTTTTTTGTTTGTTTGTTTGTTTTTTTGTTTTTTTTTTTGTTTTTTTTTCCTTCTTAATACACTGCAGAACAAAACCACACCAAAAGAACACTTCTGTCCCTGCACCTGTGTGGTCTGGAGGCTGCTCAGGATCCCCTTTTTCCCAGTCTGCCATCACTGCCTCCCGCCTGTTCCCAGCCAACGCCAGCTCCGAGCAGGCTCCGTATTTGTCCCCAGGGTATCACAGAGGCAGCAGACAGGCCAGGGCTGCAGACAGATGGGTGGGAGAACATGGATAATTAACCCAGGAGCAAAATGGAACAAAATGGGAGAAGTTGAGAGCCCTCGGAAAGCTGAGCAGTCTGACTTGTGTCCATAAGAACCTCAAAGCAAACACAAACCCTCAGTCTGTCCTGGCTTAAGAAATCCCTGAGTGGGATTTTAAGGTTCTTTGCAGTAATTTTTTCTCAATTTACTGCAGTGCAACACTTCCCCTTGGAGCTGTGTCCCCAAACAGCTCTGTCTGTAGGGCCTCTGCAGCGTCATGGATCCACCTGCTCCTCCAAAACCCTGTGTGACCACAAGCTCACCGGGGGCAGCTGCAGTCTGGGCACAGAGCAGGAGCCTGAGAACACCGTTTTTTTGTGGAGGTGAGACTGAAATGAAAGAGCTTCTAAAAGCATTTAAACTGAAATGCTCTCTGTGGAGTTCAACAGGAGTGCCTTATTCTGCTTCAGCTCTAATCTGTTCCTAATCAACTTAAGACAAATTTATCTTAAGCCAGATTTGCAGCTGTTAAGAAGGATCCACATAGCCTTTTGCTCCAGAATTGCCATATTGGTTTTGTGGAAAGATCCACAGCTTTAAATGGGCGAAACAGGGGCCCTGGGAGCTGTGTCAGGAGTGAAGAGTCACGGAGCCAGCTCCGCCTCTGGAGCCCGGCACAGCATCCCATGGAAAACTGCATCCGGAGATTAACTGCTGTCCCAGTTTCTCATAATTAAGCAAGATTAACAGATAAATAGTCCCAGCAGCCACCAGTATGAGTAGCTCAGATTTGTTTCCAATAAGGCTCAAGAGGCCAAGAGAGGTTTGGGCAGCTGCAACTGCCTTTAACAGCACTTTGGACGGACAAATTCTAGTAATTTGTGTGTCCCAAATCCATTTGTTACATCCACTGCGCCACTGCTGCTCACTTGGCATTTCAATCTGCAGTGAAATGAGCTCTCACAGGACCCAGTGCTTCAGGCTGTTTTACACAAGAGCCCTGAGCACCCACCCAGTTCTGTCCTGGGCTTTGGCACTGGTTTAGTTAACTCAAACTGGGGTGGAGGGTGAGGGAAAGGAGAAGAAAAGGATGAGGGCAGGAGGGACAGACAACTAAGGACCACAAATCTGTTAGAACAAGGATTATGGGAGTCTCAAGATAGAAGCAGGTAAGAACATAAACTTTTGGCAAGACGGTATAAATACCATCCACTGCAGTGCTTTGTGCTCACAGCCAGAGATGTTGTTTCTAAGCACTCAGCTGGAGTTACTCCTTCGCATCCAAAGCAGAATTACTTAATTACTTGCACTTCTTGAAAGGTGTAGAAGTGCAACAGGCTCCTACAACACTGACAAATGTTCACTCCAACCTAAACAGGACTGACAGGTGTTTCAGGGGGCTGGAACTGCACAGTGTTTTGCAGTCAGTGATTGAGTTCCTGAACTAAGTGCTGACAATGTAGCAATGAAGAACAGCAACAAGACTTAAACATGATTAGTATTATCCAACTGCTTTGTTATAAATATATTATATACATTCAAACATCACATTAAAATATTATTCCATTACACCAGAAGAGATTAAGGCTTTATATTATTTACAGAAACAAGCAAGCACCTTAAAAAAAAAAAAAAAAAAAGAACAAAACACCAGTCATTGACATTTCCCTTCTAACATTACAAGTTTGATACCTTGAGCTCTTGAATACAGCTATTTGCGGTGTGCCCAATGCTAGAACTAGTTTAAACATTTATTGTCAGGGTAGGAAACACTTAATAGCAGTGAGCACTCCACACGAGCAGGTGTTGTACGGGGTGCCCTCCCTCCTCAGAGGCTCCTTAAGTTGAAGGCTTATGTAGAAATGGTTTGCTCAATTCCACGTGGAGAGTAGAACAATTTTATTTTAAGGGAAGCTGAAGACACTTGAGGATTCGTGGCCCACTGGAGGAGCAGGATTCTCAAAGTCTGTTCCACACGACATCAATTGGATTTAACATGATAGTGAAGACAGAGCTGCACGTTCATCAATCACAAAGTGCATTGAACAGTCATGATTTTCTGGGCTCCCCCTGCCCTGACACTGCTCTCATGCAGAGCACTTGGACACAGAGTGACAAACCCTTGTCACCACTCTCCCTATAGGACTTAGGCAACAAGCTATTTTGGAAGTGTTAAATAATGTTGATACAACACATGTTTCCTACGCCACCACGTACCACTGGAGTGACTGTCCTGCCCTCGGGCTGCCCGACAGCTCACGGACACAGCACGTTCTAATGTGTAAGCAGACATGGCTAAACAAAAAGGTGCTCAGTGAGAGTAATCATCTTCATTTCAAGTATTGTTTTAAGAATTAGTTCTTTTCATTGCAGTCTGTGTTAGCACTTTTTAGTTTGTGCTTTAGAGTCTGTTATTTCTTTGCAGGTCTTGAATTTGGCTGATGGCTTTATTTTTTTTTTTTCTTTTAAAAACAACATTGGCAACAAGTTAAGGATTGCAGAAGGCTGGCAAAAGTTATTTGATTTTCTGAGCCCATTTCATGTCATCTGCTCTTGGCTTCTCCCCAGTAAGTCCTTGGATGATGTTCTCCAAACACCTCCAAAATCTTATCTTCTCTAATGGATAGTTCAGCCAACCTAAGGGATTACAAAGGAAAAAGAGGATTAGCTTGTCAGAGCATCCAAAGTTCAGCTAGTCCAAGACTGCTAATAATGGTCAGGTTTAACTTTCAGGACCTAGTAGGACTGAAAAATAGCTCTTTGAGTGGCAAGATTTTTTCCATCATCTGTCAAGTCAGGCTTCTTAATTGTATCGTGTTTCTACGTGACATTCTGCTAATGAGAACTAGATTTGTTTCTTGGCAGAGGTTTCAAAACCCACATGAACTGTTTGTCAAAGCCAATGACAGAATGAAGAACTAGAGTGGTTTATTTCCTGCTGCCTGATTAACCTGATAACTTATTTAGGATTGTGCAACACTGGTCACTGGGCATTCCCACCTGTCCTGTGGGCATAATATTGAACACGGATATAAAAGGAAGTCAAAGGTAGCAACACCTGTCTGCTCCTCTACCCTGAGTCAGAATGAGTGGATGCTGAAAATCCAGAAGCCTGGCTTTAGAAATGAGCATTCCAGACCAGTTGCAGATGAAATGCTCTCTTGAAGAAACAGCAGCTTGAAGACTTTAGTGAACAAAAGCCATTAAGGCATGAGCTTACCAAGACTCCAGTCCATAGGATCTCAGCACCACGGACTATTCCCTCAGGCTGCAAGCTGAGGGAATAGTAAGTGGTGCTCAGATCCAATGGACTGGAGTCTGGGACTATTCCCTTTAGCTGATCACAAACCTTCCCCCCACATTTTTTATGCAACAAAAGCAACTCCAGTTTTACTAAGAGCCTGTGCAGTAAGAGCACAGTTAACTTCATGCCATTTTCCAGTTTAATAGGCTGTCCCTAAGCTACATCTCAGCAGGTGAACTGCACTGCAGGGAGGCTGCAGCACGACCCCAGGGGCAGTACCAGTGGTGATGCAGAAGTAGGTTTCGTGTGGAGACACATGATGGATCCTGTGGTGCTTCCTGGGCAGGATAATGTGCCAGTCCTGCAGGAATATGACCCAGCGTGGGAGCCCAAAGTACGTGTGGGACCACTTGTGGATCTGGTTCGTCATGGTGATGAAGATGATGAGCGCGAAGACGTAACACTCCCAGGGACATGTCTCGTACAGTGCCTCTGCAAAACAAGATGTGCATCTGTAAACACCAGTTATGAAAAGGCAAATTTCTGCTAGGACAATGGCTGGTGCCACAGGAGCTAACAGAGGCCTCAACGAAGCTGCTTTGGCAGAAGTGTCACAAGAGCCAGTGAGCCATAAGCAATTCCCAAATGTCACAAGACAGGCTGGGAAGTGCCAACATCTGTGAATGCAACACAAACAGGAAGTCAAACTGAGCTGACCATCTATAAAATTAATTTAATCCTTTAGTTCTTGACTTCTAATTTGCACATAAAGTGCTTCTGCACAGAGATGAAGCATTGTTGTTATATGTTTTAGAACAAAGGTTTCCATTTATGCTCACAGCTCGATCTTTCTTATACATAGAATATTTAGCATGATTTCTAATGCTTCCTTGCACAACTCTTCAGCCTCAGATCCTCTGTTGAGCTAGAGAACCTCTCTGTGACACCTGCTGCCACCCCACCTGTGAGAAAAAAAGCTTCCCTCCCTCCTGCCAGGAGCACCAACAGCTCTTCCTTGTCATGTCACAGTCATGGATTTCTCCTACTTTCACAAAGACAAATGTTCATCTAAATAGCAACAACACTAAATCCACAGAAGTCAGAAGTAACAGCTTACCTGGGGAGAAAGAAACAAATTTGTATGCCATGTTTGCTAGTGGGACCAGTGTCATGAAGCAGTTGTCCCCATTGGTCTCTATGAAATCATGTCTGGTAATTGCTGTGGGGTCAATGTGATGTTCCCTAAAGGGTCGGATGAAAGCCTGGAAAAAGAAATGACACCACGGCTCAACACTGGTCTTGGAAAGAAAATATTACCAAAGAACCCCCCCAACAAACCCAAAACCCCCTCTCATGCATTCTAATCTGATGACTGAATTTAAAAGAGTACAAAGCATGTGAGCAGCATCAAACTTTTGTGCTGACAACACTTCAGATTGTTTGATTTACATTTGAGGAGCAATTCAGCTCCCAACCCCAAATCCAGGTTTTCACAGCTTTTCAGTTCTATTCTTAATTTTCAATTAGAACCTGTAGTCTCTAGATCTCAAAGACAAAGCCTCAGCATCCTAATTTCACAGACAAAATAAGCCAGTGAAAATCACATATATAATTTGCTTGCTGTAAGTAGCATCAACCAAGGAAAAATATTAGTCAGTCTAACATTTTTGTATGGGGTACAGATGACAGCACTAACAGAATAAATGCAAGTTAAGTGACTGGATAAGGTAATAAGTCAAAGAGACTGTACAAAAGTCACCTCTAAGAGCAGAAATCACATTGGAACACACAATCCCAAAGGAGACAGAGTAATTGCTTTACTGTGTGTGACAGTCAAACCAGTTACTGATTTGCCTTTACCACATCCATCACATACAGCCTGTGCAAAGGTGTCCTGAGCAGCCTGAACTCACGGTCACTTAGTGCAGAGTCTCCAGTTGTTTTTTTTTATATAAACTATGGTCCAGAGATACCAGGATTCAGAGACTAATAAGTCTATTGAAGGTGAACAAAAATAAACCAAAACCAGCAGTCTGAATTCTGTTGTTGTAGTTTATGTATTTCTGAATACCCCACATGCTATTTTTTAAAAAAAATCACAATCCTTCTAATATTGTACTGTGAGAAGTAATTAATGGTAGCTATTTAGAAATTTAATTAAGAAAACAGATGATGGCTTACAATAGAAACCAGTGCACCTTCGAGTAAACAAGTGGCATTTGTAGCTGCAGGTGTATAATACATCTCTAATTAAATCTTCAGTCATCACCATTCTAATATTACTACATCTACAGCAGGGGCAGTAGAACAGAGAGCTGCAAAGACTCTTACTGGAGCACCCTCATGTTTCACCAGTGTTTAGGAGTTCAGCTGCAGAGGCAACTCTCCACAGCTATGGACATTATTTTTTGAGCACCTAGAATGCCCAGCCAGGTTCCTCCACCTGTGGTTCCCACAGAACCTCGGGACGATCTGCAAACACCGGTATTGCAAAACTGTGTGCAAACCTCAGACAAGGTGATAACACGGAGCAGTGTCACCTTGCAAGTGTCACCCAGGCCAGGTGTAAACACAGCCCTGCCCCAGCACAGCCCAGTGCTGTTCCATGGAGGGCTCTGGGGTGTGCAGCTGGTTACGCTGCCAGGACTGAAGACGGAGCCTGTAACTGCCCAACTCAGCTGGGAACGCTGGAAGTGCTTCAGGGAGGTATTTCGTAACTTTTTCAAGCTTAAGAATAACAATCTCAAACCTTTCCAACTATGGGTAGCTCCACAGATCCCCAGGTATCCGCTCCCCAGTGAAATAATCCTGATAGGAAGTCAGCCGTAATAACTCCTGCAACTTCAATGAGGAGAGAGAGAGAGTTAGAGAAACACAGCATTGTTACTGACTTATTCACACTTTATACTTGTTTTACAAGTTGTTAATCTACCTCTCACTAACATATTTGCACCCACAGGAGATCTACCCAGTCTGAATAAACATAAGCTCAGGTAAGTAAAAAAAAGAGGTTAACAATACACAGTTTGGACAGTAATAATCTTCATTAAATGTATTAGCAGGATTTTGTGTTTAGCCTATCTTGTACGGAACAGATAGACCACTCCACGTGGGTACCTTTTGCTTAGCTGACCCCTCACCTCTGCAGTCCTTCTCACCTTTCGTTTTCAAACAGGGAGAAGAAATAAATGCACGATTAGTGTGGTACCCACTACCCGGAAAAGCTTTCTTTTCATACCATAAATCAACCCTCACTGCTGAATCCATTATGCAGTTGGCCCAAGCTCTTAAATGCAGCAGGAAACACTTCATTCTTTATGTATCTCCTTATTGTACTGGAGACAGCTTATTTTATAAGCAGTAAATCGTGTACATTTGTTCTTGTTTCAGACCACACATGCAAGCTCCAGTGAGACCGGGTGGGACACAATAGCTTTTAGATCTGCTCCCAGCAGCTGAAAGGGCAAGCAGCCTGGGTTCAGGGGAAGATATCCAAACAACACTTCTCTTTGCAACAACTAAAATACCATTCTCGCTGAGCTAATGCCCCCATTAGCCCTCATGGCCTCCAGCAGCTGCACCATTAGAGTCTGAAACGACTGCAGGAGCAGCAACACAAATTGAGGTAAAATACTGACAGTTCAATAGATGTTTCACATGCTGCTTTGATGTCAGCTGGTAGAAAGCTAAGAGGGAAGAATGGAGGGTGCCTGGAGCAATGCATTATACTTCAGCAACTGGAAAAAACCCTAACTACCAGCAATCTCATTCTAGCTGTGCTGCAGAAGGGCTTGCTCACCCTTCTGCACTTGTGCAGGGTGAGTAATAATAGAAGAGCTAGAACTGTACTAAGATTATACATGACTAGAATCATAATACTTAGGGTGTGTCCTGTCCCCAAGCTCAGAGGCCAAGATGGAGCAAGACCCTCCTCTGGGTCAGGGACATGATGGAATGGGATCCTCCTCTGGGTCAGGGACGTGATGGAGCAGGACCTGGCACTCAGCACAGTCACCACTTGGCAGCAAGGCTGGAAGAGCAACTGCCCCAAACACACCATTAACACAAGACAGCTTTGTCTCGCTCGTGTCCTGCTCAGAAACCAGGAAGCTGTCGGGGTTTGGGCCACAGAAAAGGCCCCGCTCCACCTCTTCCTTGTTTAAGAGTCAAACTGAGACACAACAACTTGCAGCCTCACCCAAGGGCTGCTCTCACAGGGAGCACAAACCGCTTCCTGTGGGCTGGCTGCTCCAGGGCCAGCGGGAGGAGCCCCACGAGAGCAGGCACTGCACTGCGAGGGCTTCAAGAGACAAAGCTATTTCACATGTTTACAACAAAAAGATGTACTTTGCTGAAATTTTACAAGCTGAGAGTAAGCCTGGCTTTGCACAGGTATAATTACCAAATAGTAACATGGAGCTCTTACAGTAGAGCACGTATAGTTTTGTATTTACTGTAAAAATTCAGTTAAGAGTTTCTCGAGGGGGGAAAAAATCCAGCATAAGGTGTTATTTAATAACTTGATGCTGTTGTGTAACATCATCGAGAAGTACAGTAATTTTTAATCAGTGACTGTATGAATGTGTTGAATGTTACAGCACTGAAGGGTCAGGGGAATGGCTAACTCCACACAGAAAAAGATCTTGTTTTCTAAAAATCAGTAAGCTAAAATGACAGTTGTTTGTCACCAGCTCAGTTGGTTAGAGAATGGTGCTAATAAAGCCAAGGCTGTGGGTCTGATCCCTGTATGGGCCATTCACTTAAAAGCTGGACTTGATGATCCTTGTGGGTCCCTTCCAACTCAGAATGCTCTGAACTCTGTGAACATTTACATGCTTATAAAAATAAAATGCCTTAGTCATCTGCCTTCCCCATGTAGTGGCTTTCAGTACAGAGAAGGCAGAGGTTTGATACCATGGCAAATTACGAGGCTAAGAAAATAAAATCTGGACATTCCAACAAGTATAAAGTGTAGCAGCTTGAATGCAAAAAAAAGAAGAGTTCATCATTTTGGCTAATAAAGGTGAGAAGAATGCAGTGAGAATGGACCTCACAGTGCAGTAACCAGAGAATGCAGCTGAACTGTGAAATACAAGAAGGGCTGGGATAGCTCATATATTATTATTATTATTATTATTATTATTATTATTATTATTATTATTATTATTATTATTATTATATAGAGTAGTTCTATCCCATTATAGCTACAGTTTCAAACAAGTCCTGTCTGTAGCTCTCCAGAGGCAGGAAAAGTCTGTGCTGTGTCACAGGAGCTCCTTGGCAGGGCTGGCACGTTTCTCACGGAGCTGGCACTTCTCCTTCTGGTGAATCCCTGCTCTGGGAGCCGTGTAATCCTTGTGTCCCAGCAATGCCCCCCGAGAGCAGCACACCCCACACCTCACAGCTCAGCCCTGACTGCAGCAGACCTGACCTGGCCTCGGGGCTGAGCCAGCTGCCAGGGAAAGGAGATCCCCAAGGAATTAGGGCACAGTCTCCCCTGGGGCTGAACAGCAGTGGCTCCTAAAGCAAATACTCATCTACCAAGGCACAGCTTGGCTAAGAATCACTGCCTGATAAACTTAATAATAGGAACAGCCAAATTTTATTCTCATGTCTTTAACCTTAGTGTGTTTGCACGAAGCAAGCTGTTCCTGCTATTTCTCCAGCTGACAGAGGGCTTGTAAAGCACCTGGCACATTTAAATGGCAAAGTCCTGACAACTTTACCAAGGCCTCAGGTTCTTTAAGAAAAAGTACCATTGTGAGAACTTCTTTTCCCTGTAAATGCACTACTAGAAAAAGCATTTATGCCATCCCAGAAGGTGGTGATTAAAGATACAGAGAACAATGGATACTAAATGAAAATCAAGAGCAAATTTTCTCCCAGTAAAGAAAAAAACCCAATACTTTCATTAGTATGATTAATCAACTCATCCTCCAGTTTCATCCTTTTAAAACACTCCCAGAATGAAGCAAGGTGAGCTCAGTCCCTGGGAGCACTGGCTAGTTCTGTGCCTGCAGGTTGGCACTCAGAGCCCCAGCACCTGAACTGGGGTTGGCATGGGATGCAACCCACCATCCCACTGCTCTGTTCAGGGTCTGCACTGTGCCCATGCACTCCAGCAGGGCAACACCCAACATGTGTGGGTGTTCGAGGTGCAAGAGGCAGTTTTTTGAGTGGATCAGGACCACCAAGACCTACAGCTCTTAAATCCTCAGCCAAAGTCCCCTGTAACTTGGAGAGAGCCCCTGACAACTGGGCAGGCACACAGAGCTGTCTTTGTCCCTGCTGCTGCCAGAGAGAGCGACAGCACGTTCCCTGTGCATGCAGTGGAGACAGAGAAAGGGCCGTGTCACCCGAGTCCCTCCAGCACCAGGGCAGGAACCTCGTGGGGGGAAATGGCTCAGCTCTCCCTCTGCCCTGCCTGACAGCTGCCAGGAAAGTCCATCCCTTAATCCAAGTGACATGAAGAACAGATAACTGGTGTCAACATCACATGCCTGACCAGTGCAAACCAGCAATTCTACCACATAATTCCACTTTCATGACCAACAGCCTCCTCCCTCTCCTCCTTACGGGGCCGGACAGGGGCTCCCAAGAGAACACCCCAGTAGTGCCCAGGGGATCCGCAGGAGACAGGATACAAACATTTTAATGCAACCCACACTCATTTGTGCAAAATGCAACACAGAATCAAAGTTTTGCCTATTTAACCACCTGTGGAGTTTCCCCCTTCAGGGGATGATACAGTTTAGTGTGGAAACACAAAGTTACAGCTACCAAGTAACTGCTGGGTACTTCAGGTGGGGTAGGACAGCGGGTGACAAAGAACCGGCTTATTTGGACCAACATTGAAGCAAAAGATCATTCTCTGTTGCTGAGGATTCTAGTGTAATTTCAAGGACCTTTTAAAACAAAATTTCAAGTGGAAATTTCATGTTAGTGCACAAAGTAACTCCAAAAATGAAGCAACATTGTTACAACTGTGAGGCAGAGGATGTGGGCACCTGCCCCACGTGCCCAGCACTCCATTCAGCACTGATGGCTCTGGAGTGGTTTCACTCCAACTTGTGCCAAGGCTCTCGTGTGTTACACGCTCATCCTTTGGCTCTGCAATGCAGCTGATGAAGTGCAGCCCTGCAGAGCTGCTTGAGCTTGGAACAAAGAGCTGCTGGGCCTTTACGAGATCCAGTTTCTATTTTGAAAGCTCACTAAGTGATTTCCTCCTGTGTGATCTCTCTGCCTAACCCACAACATCTGCAGGAATGAAACGTGGACCTCAAATCAGTTAAAAAAAATGAGGTGCCCAGCTCTCAAGTCAGCAGCAATTAACTGTACCTTGTCATGGCACAAGATGTTCCTAAAGATATCTGTCCTATGTGGGGCAGTTCTTACAAATACAAACAGGTTACCACACAAAGTTAACTTTCTTTTTTTTAAAGACTGCAGTGCACAGTCTCTGTTATGAGCAAATGTGGCTGCACATGAAAGTCAAATGTCTGAAGCAAGTCAACCAACTTGGAAAAGAGGGTTTAAAACCCTATACAAAGGCAAGAGGAGAGGGAGGAAATGAAAACCAGGATCCGTGTTTTAACTTGCCAAACTTTTTATCTAAATGCTGTTAATATATGAACTACCTATTCAACTCAAACGTATTGAAAAATATGCCGGACACCACAAACTCACCTGAAGGTATAAGGGCTTTCAAACCTGATTTCATGTGTTTTGGTGAGGCTTTTCTGCTTATCAAACAATAATACCTTTGCCATCCTTGTCCCTGGTACTACTAAACATCTATTAGAGTGCTGCTCTGGTTCTGTGGCACTGCTGGGATGGTGCCCTGCTGCAGTGGGAAAAGATGGGGGTGTTGAACCTCCACCACACCCCACCCCCAGCCAGCGCTGCCCACAGTTAACTGGGTGCATGTGTGTGCGTGCCAATAAAACACCAAACTGAAATCTGCACGACTGGCAGCTTGCAGAGAGAGGAACATCTCCATGGCTGCTCAGCAGCTGAGGATGTTCAGAATAGGGCATGACTGGATTTAACAGAAGCAACAAAAGAAATCCATCCTCTGCCCACTCTTTTTTTTTTTATTATTATTATTTTTTATTTTATTTTTATTTTTTTTGACAGTGAGGAAGGGAAGGAAGTTGTCTCATCTCTGCTAAACCAGCCTGAAAGACAAGAGACTCCCATGCCTCTTCCCTTCCAGCATGATCATCCTTAATCAGCAGGAAACACCCCAGTGCAGGAGCCATTCTAACCAAGGCCACGAAGGTCTCCCCTCAGCGACACCGTGGGTGACTCAGCTCAGCAGCACAGACCTGCCTGCCACAGCACACAGACAAGGACCTGCTTCCTGCCAGCCAGAGCAGGATCAGACCTTTTTTGTCCCAAGAATCTCTGGATTATGGTATTCACAGTATTACTCATGTCACAATTAAGTGTTCCTTTAAAAGTACGAGAAAAGAATTAATCACAGACACAGGGTTTAGGCAAAGTGGAATGATGCACAATGTTCAAACCACTCCATTTCTTAAAAGATAAGTATTTGCATAAGAGCACAGAGGGGGTGCCAATGATGCATTCAATGGACAGGTCTGTGCAGCAGAGCGGATCCATCCCACTGGATTGCTGATCCCTTTCACGTTTCCAAAGGCCTGGTGTGAACTTGATCCAGAGCTACATCTTTATTAGCAGAATGTTTATTTTGTGACCTCATCTCAAAGGTCAATATTCCAAACTAAGCTTGAGGACTGGAACACACCTCAGCTGCCAGTGACTCAGTGTTCCCAATTGTACCCACCATACCATCCACAGGACTTAGGAATCAGGACTTTCATGGAGATGAGCTTCACAAAATGTAATAAAACCTAACATAAAAACCCCAAACTAATAAAATCTGAGAATTACAGATATAATTTACACTCCACCTGAAGAAATAACGTACTGAAGACAACAAAACAAGATAGCCTGCAGCACTTATTATTTTATTGCACTCATTTTTGTACACACTATCAGTTATTTCCACACCATTTTATTTACACAGAATCAAGATTCTGCTACTTTAATCATTCACTACTACTTAAATAATACTATCAGTGAATTGGCTGCTTTATCAGCTAAACTGGTAACCAGGGTATCAGAGAACTCAAGCTTTTATCAACATTAACTCTGAGATGAAAGCCAGCAACAAACAGATTGCACTACAGGTTAACCACCACTGGTGACTCTCTTGTCTGCATCTGCCCTTGTCACTAAGGAGCAGTTCACAGGCCACATTCTTCTCCATCCTCCCAACACCTCCACCTCATCAGCTGAGAGCAGGCAGGACTGAATGAGGCCAAGAGGGCTGGTGTGATTCACAGTGAGAGGACACTGCTCCCCCCCAGTCCCCTTTACACAGACATCAGGAATTGCCACTTCCCAGCTCTGGGAGAAATTCACAGCTTCTATCACATACCACTGCTTGAACCTGCTGCTGTGTTTTGTCTGTTTGTTTAATTCATTAGCAATATACAGCAGAGATTCTAAACAAGCACCATTCTCTTCTAAAACATACACCTCACACAGTTTATAGAAAATGTATTTTTATTCTAAAGCACAGGAATGAACAGCTGTACTACCTCACACAGCGCCCTAAGGAATAACACCATGTGTTCTCCTTTCAGCTAACCAGGCAATTCATGCAAAAGCATGTAGACGTTTATACACACCCAACACAAGAGTTACTACTGTATTCAGTATTCTTTGCAAGTATGGGTGAAGTGCTTGGATACTATTCCCTCCCTCTTCTCATAGTAGAAGTTTACCAGAGAGCTATGAAAGGTATGCATTGCATAGCTGACTCTTCAGATTTCTAAACTGAGCCCTTTTTCCTTTTCCCACATCCCCTCCCACCCAGGGACCAGCAGTGCCCAGGCAGTGCCCACAGACTGAGTCAGCCTCAGGTGAGTGCCCGCCTGCTCCGCTGCCCTCTCTGCCTCTTCTCAACAAAGTCTGTGTGCAACTGCTTCTCAACACCATCCTGTGCCACAAAACTCATGCAAATGCTGATACTTTTTGCTCTGTGTGTTAAGGAATATCCCAGTCGTACCCAGGGTTAGGCTTTGACTGATGTAGTGAATGGTGCGGAGTCCCTTTTCACAATTCTTGATTCTATCAGTAAAGCTGCACAGCATCAAACTAGAATCTTCACTGGTTCTTCATCTCCACCATGGGAAAGGGGAATCACCAGCTCCCACTGCAGCTCTGCCCCACTGAGATCCTGCCAATGTAAACACCTCCCCAGACCAAGACACAGAGATGAGACTGAGCTGCTGCGCTTGCCTGCCTTCACTTCCCACCAAACGAAGTAATAAGAGATCAAAAGTCACATTTATTATCACAAGAAAGCTGAAACTTGTCTTATATTGCTGGAAAAAAGTCATCATTGAGGATAAAGGCCAAATGTCACATCCTGACATGAAAGCACAGCTCTCCAGAATTCTCATGGCCACTTTGCAGTCCCCAGAAATCAAGCCAGTTTGATGCCTTAACCACCTTTTATAACATTTCTCAAGCTTTTGCTTTCTGAAAAGTTCTTGTAAATGTTTTTGTCGATCAGCGCATTTTGTTTCCATCTCTGACCATCTTGACAGCTCTTTTTGCTCTCAATAGTCCCTACACTTGCAATGACTACCCAAACCCACCAAACTTACATAGCTATGCCAAAAACTTCCCCTCTGAGATACCGAGAAGCCACTGACACGAAAGACAAAGCAGTAACAAACTTTGCGGATGGTCTCAGTTTCGGAGGCTCTGCCCTTGCACACACACTAATTGTCCCTCTCCCTTTCCCCATAGCAAGTCAAACCCAATGGATCACACTCTTGCTTCCCATATCCCAACAGTCTTGCCTTGTCTGGGGCAGCGAACAGTTCCTACTTACATATCCCAACGATAACCGAGGGCGTGTGTTCCAGTCGCAAATAGAAGAGGAGATTGTAAAAATTGAAACAGATCAGAGAGAAGCATAAGATGACAGAAATCCATTCTTGTAGTCTCTTTCCTGTTGGAAAAAAAAAAAAAAAAAAAAAAAAAAAAAAAAAAAAAAAAAAAAAAAAAAAAAAAAAAAAAAAAAAAAAAAAAAAAAAAAAGGAAAAAAGCACGCTTTACTTTTATCCGAGAGGACATTTTGGAGTCTGAAATAATACAGACAGACCATTCTACTGCCTGCATGACTCGCTCCATTTGTCTGACAGGGAACTGAAACAGAAACTTATTTATCCATGGAAGGTTCACTCATTTTGTTAAATCACATTCTTCTTCCCTGAGCCGCCACTTAACCCCTTGCCTCTGCCCTTGCCCAAATAACAGGGACAAACCAGATATCATCTCACATTGTCCTAGTTTCCTTCTCCCTGAGATTGCTGGCATAACGTTTCTCCTTTTCTCAATTTGCATTTCATCCAATATTCAGTGTTGCTGGAATGGCTGAATCTGGGAACAAATTTCTGGCCTCAGACATATTTAAATCTCCTCGTGATCTGTAATATTTACAAGCTCTGAGATTTTAAATAAAGCTGTTGCACTAACAGGAAAAAGCACTATCCTGTATTTTGGTGGCCCTGGAATGACTTGTCAAATGTTGCAAGTGTATGTACCCCCTGAAGCTCCTCACTGAACTGCTGCCTTGTTTTTGCCTTCCTGCTCCCAGGCAAAGGCTGGGAACTCTCAGCCACTCTGAGATGACAAAGGACAGAATAAGCAAAGAGAAAGAACTGGCACAAATTCTCTCCTGCACCTTGCTGCACTGTTTTGTACCTCCATAAAAAAATCATTAATATAGAAAGGGAACAGGCAGATCAGAGTACAGTAACACTCTGAATATCAGATTAGCAGCAGAAAGCTGCTGCCTGTTCATCACTGCTGGATCCTCACGAGGCTCCGAGGCCAAGAGCAGGGGATGCTCAGGGTGAGGCCCATGTGGATTAAGGAATCAGGAACAGATCTTTAATGCCCAAGGCCAGGCAGGAGATCTGAGCTGCCACCGTGGCCAGAAGGGCCCCGGGCTGCAATCAGCTCTTGACATGCTCAGGGGCAGCCAGCACAGCCACCTCCTGCCCAGGGCTCCCCAGAGCAGCCCCTTCCCCACTCCTGCTGAGGCAAAGCCACACCCAAGGAACACTGAGTGAGGACTCCAGGGAGGTGCACGTGCTCTCCCAGGCACACTCAGGCCTAGCATGTGTTCAGGACAAGAGCTTCTGTCCTACTCCTCCTCCCTCCTGACCTACTGCCTGATCAAATTTCTCCTCCTAAATGCTAAATCAAGTCCTCCCTCTCAACCGCACCACACAACAAACAGGGAAGTAGGAACATAAAAGGAGGATCAGAATTACCTCCAATGTGCCTACAGAACAATATTCGAAAGCGTGAACAAAGACTTTTACAGGCCAGTTTTGCTCTAGAAGGACCCCAAGTATATAAATTAACATCCCCTGCAGCAGCAGAGGAGAGAATCGTAAAATTAAATTAGGACACGAGAACAGCCATATTTGACAGCAGCATCAGGTGGCAATGTGGGCGATTCTATAAAGAGATCCCTGGAGTAATGAAAGTAAGAGTTAATTAACACTCGCTTCCTGCATAAGAAAACCACACCCTGATTAGAGCAGCCAAGTGGGTACAATTAGCTGACTGCGGGAAACGAGGCTCCTCGCTGGCAAGTCCCCTGAGCTCAGTGTGTGCAAACACCTCTGTACTCTGAACACCGGGATCCCAGCATGGCTGTGGAGATACCTGAGTCCAAAAACGCAGCCTCAGCTCTGCACTGGGAAGCAAATCACTCAAGGAGCTGAGTCAGCACCAATAACTTGTGTTTAAAGGGCACTCAAATTTAGAAGCGTGTCCTGCCTGAAGGAATGAGGTGACAAAGCCACAAAGAGTGTGCTTAAAGGAATCAGGGAGATATTCCAGTCATACTCACTCTGCACAGTCAAATATAATCCCTGCTCTAATGAATTCAGAAGTTGGACATCACGTGCTTCCTCCATAATACATATTCTGACGTTGTTTATGCGAATTATTTATGTAAGGCCAGAAAAAACGTGTGCATCCAACACATCCTCACAGCTTTCTGACACAATATCACTGCACATGTCCTGCTTCACAGATTGCCCAGGAATCTCCCTCTGCAGCCAAGGATCAGGACAGTGAGTTGTGTGGGGAGGAAAACCTTTTCCTCATGAGCCAAAGTCAGGGACTGCTTTTGTGTAAAACAGGAACCAGACCCAGCTGGACCAGAACTGTGCGTCCAGGTGTCGCATGGCACCTTCTCAAGGCAAACAGGAGGTGACCAAAACCAGCTGAAGTGTGCAGACTTGCCCCAAACAGTCAGACAAACCAACAATGGCCTCGGTTTCCTTATCATTGCTTGGCTCTGGGTGAGTAAGAACCTACACTTCCTACAGGAATTGCCTTGTGTGAGCTGAGCTCAGCTGACCTGCTGGAAACCACAGAGAGCTGAAAACGTGTCTTCCCTTTCCTAATACCTCTCCTGCAAATGGATTCACTGGAAACGGCAGGAACACCCAGCACTGCTCACACTGTGAGCTAAACACAAACTGTGCCTAATTATAAGGAGTTTGCAGCTGTTTCCACAGCATGAACGAACAGTCATACAATAAGCACTCAAACGACAAATTGAAGCCTGTTTGATGAGTACCACGTTCCAGGAAGACCAGAACAGGAATTCCAGCATCCCTCCGCCCCTTTCTGAGGGGCCAGGCCTGGAGATCTCAGAGCAGCTCCCTGAATGCTCGTTCTGCAGCCAAAGCTTCTGTCGCTACCTTGTGTAGCGACCAGACCCGCTACCAGAAGGAAAGCCTCGCTTTTCGTATGCCAGCTTTTAAAGAGAACACCCGCCCCCGCCCCGTTCTGGGCCGTTTCTGGTTCGAAACGCTCGGGGCCGCACACTCGACCCGGTCCCAGCGCCCCCGGGAGCCCCGCGCTGCCCGGGCCGGGCCGGGGGCGGCAGCCCCGGGGACCCGCCCGGCAGGGCCCGGCCCATCCCCGCCCCTCGGGGCTCCCGGGGCTGCGCCGGGACGGACCGCGGTGCCTCGGGGGGAGCCGGGCCCCGGGAGGAGCTACCCCGAGCGCCCGGCCCGAGGGCCCCGCCCGCGCTCCCGCGCGGCCGCGCCGCCTCACCTGGCGAGTAGAGCTCGGCCAGCTCGCGGGCCCCGGCGTGCTGCGCTCCCCAGCGCCGCCCGCCGCCCTCGGGCTCCTCGGGGGGCTCGTCCCTGGGCGCCGCGGCCGCCGCGCCGCTGCCCGCCATGTCCGCGCCGCTGGGCGCGCAGGGCCCGCGCTCGGCCCGGCCGCGTCCGCAACGGGCCGCGCTGCGGCGGGGCGGGCGCGGCGGCCCCGCCCACGGCGCGCCCCGCCAATCGCCGCCGCGGCCGCGCGCCCCGCGGGCCAATGGGCAGCGCCGCCCCGCGCGCAGCGGCCAATGGCGAGGCGGCACGGCCCGGGCGCAGCGGGGGCGGGGCCGGGCGGTGGCCGAGCCGGGCCGGGCTGGGCCGGGGCGGGGCGGGCGGGCCCGGGAGGAGCGGGGCGGGGCCGGGCGGGGCGACGCGGGGCGGTACCGGCAGTCCCGGTTCCAGGCCGTGCGGGGCGGTTCTGGGCAGTCGGTGCCCGGTGGTCTCGGTTCCGCGCCGTGCGGGGCGGTGCCGGCCGCACTCTCTGTTCCCAGTGTCTCGTGTGCGCTCCTCCGCCGGCGCGGGGCGGTGTTCCCGCAGCATCCCCCGCGACCGTCCCGACAATAAACACACCGCCGGTGCAGAATTAGACAGTCAAAACTAAAAGAACCCATATATTTAACCATGAATGCAATTATTGTGCAGATAAAAAAGGAACCATCACAAGGGAGCATGCTGTGCCTGAAAGTTTGTATTGACACAGTCTGAGTACGGTCACAGATGAAAAACTCACAATAGGATGTGGTGATTCATGTGCTCTCAGTTGGTTCTATTTGAAGCATGTTTTTGGGAGCGTTTCCCAAGAGACCTCCAAGGTGTGTTGGTGATCTTGGTTTGTCAGGGCAAAAGGGCTGTCGGGAGGAAGAAAAAGCAGCAAATTGCTACCAAAGTTGGGCTTTGCATGGGCTATCAAATTCTCTTGGAAAATGGTTGTTTTGCCTTAGTTTCGCCCGGACCAAAACACAATATCAGCAATGTCAGCGGCTCTCACCTCACCTCACCTCAGTGTGACAGGACCACCGAGGGGAAGGTTTGGTCCTTCCCTGGAGCCAAACCAGAGCACAGCTGGAGACTGTTCCTCGTGTTCCTCCTTCCCTAGGGGTGGAGGGATAAGAGGGGAGTCAGTGCACAGGCTCAGCCCGGCTCTGCTCGGCACGACTCGCCTAGAGCTCACCCGGAAAACGCCCAGATCGCACCTGGAACACATTGGGAACACTCCGGGAACACTCCGGGAACGTACGCCTGAAACGCCCCCGGGGCTCCCCGCTAGGTGGCGCTCCAGGCTCGGACACAGCGGTGCTGCAGGGTCGGGGGAGTGGGCGGGGCCGAGGGCGGGGCTAAGGCACCAGGAGGGGCGGGGCTATGATAGTGGGAGGTTCTATGGGCGGGGCCATATCGGTGGGCGGGGCTCGGGGTGCCGGTGCGGTCCCGGTCCCGCCGCGCCCCCGCCCCACCGGGACCGACCGGGACACGGGGACACCGCGAAAGGCCCCGGTGCCGGAGCCATCCCCGAACAGCAGGGCTTGGCGCGCTCCTCACTGGACCTCTCCCCTGAGCCCGCCCGCCCCCCGCACTGCTGCCGCCCGGCACGGCCCCGGCCCCTGCGGCCCCGCACTCACATCCCCCGCGGGTGCCCGCAGCCCCGGTCGCCTCAGCCCCGCTCTCCCCGCCCCGCCCCGTCCCGCCCCGCCGTGCCCGCCCGAGCCCCGAGGCCCCGCGGGAGCAGCAGCTGGGGCCGCTCCTCGCCGGGCTCTCGCCGGCCTGGGAAAGTGTCAGTGGGTGGCGGAGCTGGAACAGCCACTCCCACGGCTCCCGTCCAAGGCCGTAAATGCGAAGGTGGGGAGATGACAGGGACCGAGGAGCACGAGCAGGACGGGACACCGTGGTTACTCCACCTGGGCCCCCGTCACCCAGACCAGCCAGGTGACACAGACCAGCCCCGGCGCTGTTCCACTGCCAGGACTCACAACTGACAAGCCCGAACTGATTCCCTGGCAGCCCCGCTTTCCCTGGGGTGCTCCACACAGGACGAGAGCAGATGGAAAACAAGCATTCGTACAGTCTAGAGCACAGATCTTTAATGCCTTTAATAAAGAAAAAAATTTCCAGTTCTCCACTTAAGCCCACTCCCCTCCCAGACTTCCTTGTTTTGTGTTGCCCCAGCCATACACTCCATGGAGTTCCAGCTACCTCTCCTGCAGCCTCAGGACCTTGGAATAGATTCCCTCTTTCAGAAATTTCTGAAAGGAATAATCGAGTTCTGTTCCTGGGAGCTTCTGACACTTGGCAGGGTACCCTGGAAGGATAGGATTCCTCTTCCCCAATGGATCTTTCAAAAGCCTACACAAGAGATCATTAATACACGATCTGTACCAAATTCATCAAAGCAGGAGGCTGCGATTCCCTAGGAAATGTCAGACAACTACAGAGAACTTCTGGAAAGTTAGTGGACAGCAACCTCTCTGCCATTTTTATTGCTATGTAAGATACAAAGTCATCTCTCTCTGTCCCTGCTCAGACTGACAGCCCACATCTTGCCAGCAAAACTGCTCCAGCACAGACTCCCTCTGCCATGCAGGACAGAGACTGTGGTTTCTGCTCTGTCACTGTTCCCTTCCAGGGTGTGCTCTGGCTCTCCCTCCCTCCTTTCCTTTGCAGAGCCCCAGAGTGGGTGCTCTGACCTCAAATTTGCTCTGGAAAATTTTCCGTGTGGTCAGGGAAGGTATTTCGCTCATGTTGTCCCACCGGTGCCAATCTCCAGGTGTCGTCTCCGTGGCTCTCGTCAGGGCAAAGAGCAACGTGCAGATAAAGGGGGATTGAGCAACCCAGCGCTGCAAAGGCCAAGCCTGCTGGGTCAGAGGTGAGCAGAAAATCAGCAGAAGACCAACAAAAACCCGAGCATCACCATGTCACGTGGGAATAGGATGAGGGAGCATTTGAGGGGGGGAGGGTTCTAGTCTGTAACAAAAGAAGTGAAGGAGTCCAGGAGACATGGCCTGGGACTGCCTGGGGAGCTTTGGGCCCTGAGACTGGGCCAGGCAGAGCATCCAGCAGCGGGTTCAGGAGGCGGAATGCATGTGGCAATCGTTTTTTATGTTAAAATGAAGCAAAGTGCCGAGCCTGGTCTAAGAGCTGGGGCAGACAGAAGGAGAGCCAACCTCTCCCCAAGTTGAGACATTGTCCCTGTCTGACATTTTGTAAGAGTAAGTGGAGAGCAATAGATTCAAACCTGGCCTCTGCCAGGTACAACTTGTGAGTTGTTGTTGGCGCATGGTATGCGGCTGAATAAAGAGGGACCTGGGGCTAGGAAAGGAAAAGAGAGCCAGACCATGCCCAGAAATACATTTCAATTTTACTTCTCTATTTTGCAGCCTTTATTGCAACACTACTTAAGTCAGACTTTTAGGCAAGGTCCCCTCCTACCCCCTAGAGACCTTCTCACACCACCTCTGTGCTCTCTTCCCACACCACCCTATTAGCAGGGACACTCTGCTCTGGAACTCCTCACTTCTCCTCCAGCTCCCCTCCAACACACTGCCCACAGCACCCCGGGCATTGCTGCTGCTGTCAACTTCTGGCATCACCTCCCTTTCCCTGTGCCCCAGCTCTGCCCCTCTGTGCTGTTCCAGGCTGCAGCCCTGTGGCTGAGCAGCTTCAGTGTGATCTTACTGATCTTACTGTCCTGCTAAGAGCTACTGCAAGGGAAATAATAATAATAATAATAAAAAAAATAATAAATGGGACAAAACTGCACCAAGAAGCATCAGAAATTTCAGCCAGCCTCTTTGGACAGCATGACCCTCAGTCCACAGACCTTCTGATAAACACTTCAGTGTTTGAGCCATCACCACTAAACTAACAGCATCACCCCCCAAAGCTGGTGTCATTCCAGGGACAGCTGCTGCAGACCTGGTTTGCATGAAATGGAAAGCTTGCAAGAAATCCTGGAAAAGAAGACAATTTCCAGGAAGAAAATGCCTCTGCAATGCTTTACTGTAGGTCTGATGATGGAGCTGGAAAGTTGCGGCTTCTACAGCAGAAAAGGCAAACTGGAGAGCAGAATTTAATTCATGACAGAGATGAGCAGTGAGGATGGGATTCTTCCCTCCACCTTTTCACCATGCTGGTCTCCTCCTGTTCCCCTCCTCATGTCTGTATTGTTTCACCCATGAATGTAGAGGAATCTGGATGCTATTGCATCAGATTTTTTTTTCCTCGAAAATGTTATGTTCTTACTAAGTAATTGGTGAGTTATGCTGTATCCTTCCTCAGCTGAATAGTTCTGAAAAAAGAATTCATGAAATCACTGGTGGGAAGGAGCTTTTCACAGAAGTGCTGCTTTTCTGTCGAAAATGGCTCTGCTGGGAGACAAGCTGCGGAAGGGCTGCTGCCAGTGCCTGGATCCTTTCGCCAGGAATGTCTGCATCTCTTTTCCTATCTGAAGCATCTCTGAGGAGCTTTTCCAGGACAATTATTAGCAGCCTCTGCACATCTGTCCAGGCTGAGCCAGGCACTCGCAGGGACAGAGCTTGGTGTGCCCAGACCTCTGCTCAATCCTGTGGTGCGAGCCTTGCTCTGCACCTGTTCCCATCTCAAAACCCCCACTTCCAGCCATGCATTTGTTATGACAAGTGCAGAAACAATTTAAAAGAGACCAGACTTAGCTCAAAACCTGCTTGCCGAATGCTGGGGTTTTGGATAAGTGGTTAGTCCCGCCAACAAAGTTCCCATGAGAAGCTGAGAACGGACGTTGGCTCCACGAGAGTGGATGCTGGGATTTGAGGTGAGCTGGAGGAAGTTTAAAGAGATCCGGGTACAGCAGGGATGTGAAGGGGAGAAGGGAAGGAGGGGACAAGCTGGGCATCCAACCTCAATTACCACCCAGCTGCCATGTGATCCCAGTGACTGCGGGATTACTCAGCACTGGCCGGGAAAGCAGGTGTGGGCCACACCATCCCTGATACAATCTGTTTCACATGACACTTGCACAGGCATTTTATTTTGTTAGGGAAGATCAGCCCAGGCAGGAATACAACTTTCTGCTGCCGAGCAGCAGAGAGTAGGGCAGAAATTCCAAGAGGGCAAATTTAGATCTCCAAAAATATCTTAAGAAGGTGTTCGGGAATTTTACCAACCAGCTTTAATGTTTGATTTTAGCCAACGACTGGCCAAGAGAGACCAACCATGCACTAAGCAGGTCACCTTCTGCCTGTGAGCAGGAGACCTTCTGCCTGTGGGTCCCTGAGACGGTTTGGTGGTAGGAAGCACATGAGACTGATTTTAAGAGTTCGGTTGGAAGGGCCAGTTAGGGCAGCCACTGGATGTAACTGCCAGATCAGAATGCAGGATAAAGGTGCAGGATGAGGGAGTAAACAGCCAGAAGAACAAGCCCTGGCTCACTGTAACTTGCCAGTATTTGCACCCAATACAGATGTTTGTATTTATGAAGGTATGGGCTCCAACTACAACCTCCAGACCCAGCTTTCTGGCCAGGCCCAGCTCTAATTTAATCTCTGGTGCCTTCACCAAAGATTAACTTGATAGATAAAGATGGAACTAGAAATATTTGAAGCCTGAAAACCTGTTAGGGGGCTTTTGTTATGGAAAAAAAAATCCTATTAAAACATGAAAAGAAAAAGCAAATAATAAAAAAAAAGTCCGATGATCCACTGAGTGATTCTTGAATTCTTCCTCTTTTCAGAGTTCTGAGGTTTGAACATTAAGAACAGTTGACTGTTTGAATCATATAATGCAATACCTGTTCCTCTGGCTTAACGTTACAATATTTCCCACACCGCAGGATTGCTTCACATTATTCTAAGAGGCAGTGTCATTTTCCCCGCAGTGCTGGGTCTTCTTTACTGAGGCGAGGACACTCCTACTTCCTTTAATTATATGTTTTGTTTTAAATTAATGTCCTTTATTCTGGGGATGAATCACCAGCTTGTAGACAGGTAAATGTGGGAGTAAGAGAGTGAAAATATAAGTTTGATTCCCAAGGTGGGTGTCTTTAATTAAAACGGACATCAAGATTCAGTCTTCCTTCCCAAACTTACCCCACAAATCGAAAAACTTTGGGCTCCACGTTCTCCTGCACGTCTCTCACTTTCCTCCCGAGCCGTGTCCTGCCTGGTGGGTTCCCTTTGGTTTCGTGTGTGGATCCCCTATCGCGTCTGTGCCCTCACAGTTGCACCATATCCTGCAAAGCAAATACGCCAGGACAAACTTCCAGGGCCCCATCCCTGCACGAGGCGCTGGGGAGGGAGCGCTGGGTTCGCTGCACTGTGGATGTTCTCAGCGGCGAGCAGGGAGCCAGGAGCAGTGCTATGCCCTGCTCCAGCTCCTCTTTGCTCGGCCCAGGGCTCGCCGCTGGAAAGCGGCTGTGTGCACGTCCCTGGGGACACTTCTGCCTGCCAGGGGGATTTACCAAAGCAAGCACGGGATGGAGAGTAACGGGATCCGTCTTTGTTTTGCAGCTTTCCCCCTGCTTTGCCAAAAGAACTTGGAAAAATCCCTCCTGCCTTGATTTCCCCGAGGGTGAAACGATACCCGGGGGGATCTGCGCCCAGCCCCGCTGCCAGCCCCGGGCAGTGCCCCGCTCTCCGGTGTCAGAGCTGAGCCCAGGCCGGTTCGGCGGGGGCAGCAGCGGAGCCCGGCACACGCGTGTCCCCGAGGCCGAGCGCTGCCCGCCGCTGTCCCCGCCGGACCTGGCCGCGGCCAGCCCCGACCTCCCGCACCTGCGGGCCCTCAGCCGCCCCTCCCTCCCTCCCTCCCTCGCCGGGTGTGTTGTGGGCGGCCCGGCGGGCACCGCACCGCACCGCACCGGCGCACCCGCCCCGGGAGCCTCCTCCGGGGCCGGGGCCAGCAGTTGCCGAGCGTGCGGCGTGGCAGGCGGCCAGGCGGTGACGCGCCTGTTGCTATGGGATCCACCGCCCCTATAAATAACTGAGGAAAGGAACTTTCCTAAGTCAGAGACTTTAGGACACGGGACCCAGAACCAGATGGTCCGGAGGAGACGCGCCAGCCCCCGCCGCAGCTGCCGGAGCGGTGAAGCCCCGCCGCGCCGCAGGGACTGATCCAGCCCGGGTGGGCAGCGCCGCGGGGCCGTGCCCACGCCAGGGACTGAGGCAGGGTCTGGAGCCCCCCACCCCGACGGCGGCAGCTTGACCCTCTGCCGGGGGGGGCCCCCTGCGTCGTTTCCTCCTCCCCGCATCCCCCTTTGCTTTAATGCAACGCCTGGTGGCCTGGGACGCAGCATGCCTCCCCATCCAGCCGCCCGCCTTTAAATCCATGGAAGTGGCTAATTTCTATTACGAGGCGGACTGTCTGGCTGCTCTCAACAAGCTGCACCCGCGGGCGGCCGGGGGCCGCTCCATGACCGAACTCACCGTCGGGGACCACGAGCGAGCCATCGACTTCAGCCCGTACCTGGAGCCCTTGGCATCGCAGCCGCCGCCTCCCGCGGCAGCAGCAGGGGGCAACTTTGAGCCTCCGTGCAGCAGCGGCGCCGGCCAAGATTTCCTTTCCGATCTCTTCGCCGAGGACTATAAAGGCAGCGGCGGCAGCAAGAAGCCCGACTACACCTACATCAGCCTCGGCCGGCACAGCCACCCCTGCGCCAGCCAGAGCCACAAGCCGGGGGGGCTGCCGGGCTGCTTCCCGCCCCAGATCGTGGAAACCAAAGTGGAGCCGGTCTTCGAGACCCTGGACTCTTGCAAAGGGCCCCGTAAGGAAGAAGGGGGCGCCGGGCCGGGACCGGGGGGCATGTCCTCGCCCTACGGCAGCACCGTGCGCTCCTACCTGGGTTACCAGTCGGTGCCGAGCGGCAGCAGCGGGAACCTGTCCACCTCGTCCTCCTCCAGCCCCCCCGGCACCCCCAACCCCTCCGAGTCCTCCAAGTCCGCCGCTGCCGGCGGAGGCTACTCTGCCGCCCCGGCGGGCAAGAACAAGCCCAAGAAGTGCGTGGACAAGCACAGCGACGAGTACAAGCTCCGCCGGGAGAGGAACAACATTGCGGTGCGCAAGAGCCGCGACAAAGCCAAAATGCGCAACCTGGAGACGCAGCACAAAGTCTTGGAACTGACGGCCGAGAACGAGCGGCTGCAGAAGAAGGTGGAGCAGCTCTCCCGGGAGCTGAGCACCCTCAGGAACTTGTTCAAACAGCTGCCCGAGCCACTGCTCGCCTCCTCGCCTCGCTGCTGACCCCCGGCCGGGCGGCGGGGCGAGCGGAGCCGCCGGTTCCCGGACCCGCTCCGCGCTCCCGGGGCCGGGGCGAGGGGGGGTGAGAGCCCGCGGCGGGCGGGCGGGCGGGGTTGGTTTTAATTTGTGTTGTTGCTGTTGGATTATTTTTTTCGTGTGTGTGTGTCTTTACAGACATGTTGGCGGAAGGCTCCGCCGCCGCGCGGGTTCTGAGCGGGGCCGGGGGCTGCGGGGGCGGGCGGCGCGGGGGGACCCCGGCCCCGGCCCCGGCCCCGGGCGGGCTCTGCAGGCTGCTGGGCGCTGGGGTTATTTAAAAGAGCGAGAGGAGAGCAAGGGCAAAGTGATGCAATCCTTTAAGCATGGCTGGGAATGCTGTGTACATGATGCAATCTCGTGTAACTGTCAGTCATGGATTGAGTAATCTGTTAAAGATGTTCTTACAGTTTTTTTTATTATAAAGAATAATCTATTTCTATAAGAAAATACATATGTATATTTTGGGATCTATGCATTCTTGCTACATTTGAAGCATTAATGAACAATTTTAATAAACTTTATGACTAGGTTAAAAAAAAAAAAGTAGCTTGTTTTATTTTGAAGGCACGTTTAAAGTTAGATTAAACACAGGGTTGAAATTCCAGCTGATTCTGGCTCGTTGCTGTGATCAGGGATAGGGATTTTTGTTGGTCTTTTAGCTTTCTCTGACTCAGAGAAAGGGAAAAAAAAATCAACAACCAAAAACAAAATCCCCAAGAGAAACCCAGCAAGGAGCAGAGCTGGAAGCTTTAGCCAGTTCTTGTTGCCTCATTTTATTTCCTCTAATCACTTGGTTTAGCTGCCGCTTGGGTGTTGTTTGGGGAGGAGGTGTTTGTGTTGGGGTTTTTTTTGCACTTCATGCTGTTCTGAACGTGTAGAGCAAGATGTGCTATCCAAACCATGACCAATCCTTGGCAAATAACACCAAGTCTGAAGTGGGAGGGAGGAAGAAAAAGGGAGGAAACTTTAAATGAGTTTTTGTTTGTGTTTGAGGTTTTTTTTTTCTTTACAGAGTTTCTATTCTCTATGATTCAGCATTTCTTATGTTTGTAGTTTACAGGAATAAACATGAGAAAGTAGCATTTCTGTTGGATGTCGGTAATTTCGGTCGTTGCTCAGGAAGCTCCCATGAGACCCCGCCAGGTGAGAGTCTCCTGAACAACCCCCTTCCCTTTGCTCTTGAGACATTTTTCTAAAAACTGCAGATAGAATTCTCTGATGAGGAGTGTTTGCTTCTGTATGTGTGTGTTTGCTGGGGGCAAGTGATGGATAAGTGGGGGGTGGCAGAGGAGGAGGAAGTTTACAGCAGGCCAGGTCTTTGTTTTGGAGAGATCCAAGGCTCTGCCTGCTGCTGGAACAGGTCAGCCCTGCTGGGGCTCCCAGCTCTGTTATTCCCCACTGTGTGCTCCCATCTCAAGGTCTGTAAGAAGTGCACAGTCTCAGGCTGGTTACGTGGAGGGAGTCGGGCAAATGATCATGTCTTACTCAGCATTTTCCATTTTCCTGTTAGGCCGAAATTAAACGTGAATTTTTTAGATCCAGATTCCCTGTGCCCTGGGAAAGAAACTCCTTAACAGCCTGTGCTCTGACAGCTGAGCACAAAAGGGATCTCCAGTGTAAAGACAGTGGCCTTGAATTTGCTCCTATACATTCCAATACAAACAGCAGTGCGCTGCAGGACAAATCTGCAACTTGCTGCTTGTTTCTAGTGTTTCTTTAAGCAAAACATGTTTTCTGCTGAAAGAACTGTTCTGCTTTTTTTGACTCTCGAGATCAGAGCCTCCTGTGGGTCCATCAGCTGGAGCTCTCCCTGACATTTGTTACACATTCCCTGCGTCCCCAGGAGTCGTGCTGTGGTGAGCAGGGCAGTGTTGGTCCTGATACAGATTTCCCCCCTTTGCTTTTTAATTTGTACAGTGCAGTTCAGCTGTTTTTATGAGACCCCAAAATAGATTTTCTTGGGTGAGCTCCTGCACCAGCATGACTCAAGTCCTTGCAGGCAAGATCGACGTTAGATCTTGTCTTGACTGTCCCTCGTGACGGTGATTACTGCAGCCTCCCGTGGCTGTTTATTCTACTGTTCGTATAGTTACGAAACTTATCCACATCGTTAGATCCCATTTTCTTGTTGTGTTGTAGGCCATGCAATGTTACCCAAAGTTACAAGCAGTGTTCCCACTCAGAGCCCAGTGCTGCCGAAGGTGGAACTGCTGGAGGACTTAAGATGTCCTCAAATACCTTGTTTGCTTTTTTTCTTTCTCTTTCTTTTTCTTTCTTTCTTTCTTTCTTTCTTTCTTGCTTTCTTGCTTTCTTCCTTGCTTGCTTGCTTGCTTTGCTTTCTTGCTTTCTCGCTTGCTTTCTTAACAACAAAGCTTCCAACAAGAGTTCAGTTTGTGGGGGCTGGAAGGCAGGGTAGATTAAAAGATAAGATGTACTGAAGGTATTTATATCTGTTTAAATAATAGTCCAGTTTTGGAGATAGAGCTCTACCAGGCATGAAGAAGCTAATCCCCATCCTTAGACTCTGCCTGCCACGGCGCAGGAGAGCCAGGGCGGTGTTGCTGCAATTTAAAGAATGATGTTTAAATTACTGCTCTATTCCAATGTATCTCCTAATTAGGATTACAGATTTCTCCTTCAGGAGGAACCTTGTGCAGCAATGATTTTTTTGTCAGAAAGATGCAGTTACAGACAGGAAAACTGAGAACACAAATGCACCAATTTTACACCAGTCTCACAAGGAATCTGTGAAGGAGTCAGAAAGAGAATTCCCAAATCCTTCATTCTTAATCTTGTATTGCCCTCATAACTTCCATTGTAGGAGCTTTGTAGCGCATGGAGGTCATTAAATACCCTGCTTTCTAAACCAGCATGTGAAAAAGCCCCTGTAATTAAAACATCTAGAAAAAATAGTATGGAAAAAGTAGTTTGGAAATGAATCTGAGAAAATTCCAAGCATAAAGTAGACAAAAGATTCCAAATACCTATTCTAATCGCAGTGGGGGAACTGGAAAATCCCTGTCCAAACAGTGGCTCAGCTCCAAATATTGATTTATTTTCCCATAACAAATAAGATTCTGCTGGCCAAGAGCAGGACTTGGGACGTCTGGGCCGGTCTCTGACAGGGTCTCCTGAGCTGCTCTTCCCAAAGCCACTCAGGACAGCTTGTGGTAGGATTGTGCAGTCCATGTGCAGGCAAACCATGCAGAGAAGTGCAGGCACCAGAAGATCTGTTCTCAGTTTTATGGAAGTTTTTAAATAGCATTTCATTTGGGCTTTTTATTTTTTTTTTTCTTTCTTTTCAAATGATGTGTTACACTGGCTGATTTTTACAGGTCCTTCTTATTGCTACTAAAATAACAGAGTAGAAATCAGTCTGTAAGATCAAATCCCTGGCACTGACATCCCTGTTCCAAAGCACCTGGCACTGGTTTATAAGGTGTTTGAATTCAGTTGTACTCAGTTCTTCAAA